GACTGCCACCCCATCCTCGCGAGCCCTTCTGTCTCCCTCTGCAATTCTGGCACCCATTATGTGCTCCCCTTCTGTTTTCCAGAATATTCTCTGAGCAGAGCGAGGGGGTGTGTATCTTTTTGAGGCTGGATGTGATGGGTACTGAGACTTCCTGGGGTTAATCTGAGCTGCTAGTGCTGACCACTGGAGCAGTGTGGCTGTCCTGGGTCTCCTCACGGCCACCCAGTGAGCGCCACCTGGGCCTTTGCAGTTTGGGGCTGTGGGTGGCTAGCTGCCATGATTGGTCACCAACAAGTTCCTTCCAGATGGGTCTGCTTCCCCGGCCTGGGATCACTGCCTCAGGAGGGAGCCGCTGCGCCACCTAACTGGCAGGTCCAGTTGAGGGAAATTGGTCCCTTTCTGACAACTACCTAACAGTCATAAGGCTCTGCACTGCCTGCTGAGGTGCCTTCAGTCCCCATCTGGCTGCCTGAAGCTTGCTGTCCCATCATCATCCCACCCAGCAGGCCTCGCCGGCCTCTAAAAGGGCTGTGTGCATCTTAGCTCACTTTCTAGCTGGGCTGTAGTTTTGGTTTTTCTCCTTCCCTGTTGCATTTTAAGAGTTCTTTCTGAATTCCAGATACCCCAACTACTACCTGTAATCAGCTGCTATAACCTTTCATTTGGAGAGAGAAGAGGTCTTGAGGAGCCTTTATCTCACAGGCCACACTAACACTCCTCCCTGTTTAGAAACTAAACCATTCGTATCAGCCCGTGGCCAGCCGCTTCTACCACAGCGCAGGTTACATTCCCAGAAATCCCCTTCCCGCTACTAGGACCTTGCGCTTTCCAGGCAGGTGCTTATGCGGCTGAGCTAAATCTCCAGCCCACTTTCCTTTCTCATCCATGCCATAAAATAAGTTTATTTCTGGCTCTGTCTCAGCCTGCAGCTGGCTCCAGGGCAGGGCCGCAGGGCGAGGGGAAGGAGGCAGAATCCACAGAGGAGTGCACATTTACCCAGGCTGCTGTCTGCTTTTTAAGAGTTCTAAGTCATTGGGGAAATGTTAAAAATTGCTTATAGACTATCCCAATTTCCTTTCTTCCTTGGATTTTGTTTTTGCTTTTAAGACACAGGGTTTCACTGTGTTCACTCATTCTAGGCTTCTGGGTCCAAATCCACAGGGTTGAGTCAGGTGTTTTCTGGCTGTCCTTGTTTTGAGACAGGGTCTCACTAGGCAGCCCAGCCTTGAACTCACCCAAACTTGCCTTGAGTTTGCAATCCTCCTGCTTCAGCCTCCTGAGTGCTGAGATTACAGCCATTAGCCGCTACACCCTGCTGTAAATAACTTTATTACCATTTTAAAATAACTTTATTATCATGATTCACATAGCATACCTTTATCAATTCAATGTGCCCAATTCATCAACTTTTAACAGAATTGTGCAATTCCTACCACTACCAAGATTTCAGAATCTTTTCATGGCAAAGAACTCATCAGGGTGTGGTGGTGCATGGCTGTAATCCCAGCACTCAGGAGGCTGAGGCAGGAGGCAGGAAGACTGCCATGAGTTTAAGGCCAGCAGGAACTATATAGTAAGACTTTGTCTCAAAAACAGGAAGGAGGGAAGAAAGGAAAGAAACAAAGAAAGAAAACTGTGATCATCAATCACCCCCCCCCCCCCGAAACCACCTTCTCTCATCCTTCTCCGTGCTGGCCCTATTCTGATGTAAAGGAAATTCTAAGACCTGTAACCTGAGTGTATTAGGATCAGGAAAGGCAGGCCCCCCAGCTCCCCCCAGCCAGCTGCAAATTGTAAGACAGACATAACAGCCAGAAAGAAAGCTCATCTTCCGTGCTAACTTGCACCAAGGACAGACTCTGCCGAAGACAATGGCTGATTCTACTCGCTTCCCCAGCCCCTGACCTTCCTGCTGTGTGCTAAGAAACCATCTTCAGGCCCAAACAGGTCTGCCTGGTAACCTACTTCCCAGCCTATGTGACCAGGTACAAAGGAACCTGTCTCAGCCTTTTGTGCATCCTGCCTAAACATACCTAAGTGTCTGTCTAACCCCAAGGCTGGGCTGGTGATCTGGAGCTGTGTCCCCCAGCCCACTGCAGTAGTAAGAGCTCTCGCCAGCTCCTCGGTGCCTGCGGACCTTCCATCTGATTGGGTCCTGGTTTTTGCACAACACTGGAATTTCACGTATGTGGAAACATAAACTACGAACTCTGTCGTCTTTCGCTTTTGTGTCCTCCACACCCGACACCCATCAGTACTTCCCTTGTCACTGTCCAGTACCAGCCTACCATTATGAACATATCCGCTCATCCGCTGTCGACCATTTGGCTTAGGAAATGTACGGAAAAGTGGGGCTGTAAACATTTGTTGAGGAGGTTTTGCATGGACACGTTTTCATTCTCTTGGGTTCCCACCCAGCTGTGCTAGGCATCTCCCCATTTCATCTTTTGAGGAACTAGCACCTGGCACCCGTGGCTACACTGAGTATGTTTTCCTGTGCTTATTGGCCATTTGTAGGTTAAACTTCCTGCCTTAGACTTAGGTCATCTCTTTGTGATTGTTTACTATATATTCTAGATGTAAGCCCTTTATCAAATTTATAATTTTTCTCCATTCTATGGGTTCTTTTTTCACTTTCTTGATGTTCCTGGATGCCCCAAAGTTTTTAATTTTTATTTCATCTGTTCTGTTGTCTGTAGCTCTGTGGCCACAGAGAAGTTACTGCTCAATCCAAGCTCACAAAGATTCACAGGTTTCTTAGTAAATTCTTAGTAGCATTAGTGCTTCAGTTTAAGTCTTAATCCTTTTGGGAATCTTGTTTTGTTTTGTGTTACAACTTCACTCTTCTGAATGTATTTTGTTGTTCCGGCACTATTTCTGGAAAAATGATCCTTTTCCCCATTAAACTGTCCTGGAAATTTTGTCAAAAATCAATTGGCTGTCAACATGAGGGTCATTTCTGAACTCTCACCTCTGTTCTTCTGGGCTTGTCCTCCTGCCAAGCTGTCTTGATTACGGTGGCTCTGCAGTAAGTTTTGGACCTGCAATATATGGATTCTCCATCTTTTAAAAATTATTTTTCAGACTATTTTGGCTATTCTAGGACCCTGGAAGAATTTCTCTGTGAATTTTAGGATCCATTCATCAATTTCTGCAAAAAACCCAGCAGGGATTTTGATAGGAATGGCAGGGAATCTGTGAATCAGCTCTGGGAGTCTGGCTGCCTTAACAGTACTGCCTTAGCTCATACCTGGAGCTTTCCTGGAGAAAGGGGGGGATCTTTTCCGCCAGCGGTTTTATGTATGTGTACACATTACTGGGTATTTACATTATGTGCACACACATGCACACTGAAATGTAACACACAGGGCTGGAGGTTTAGCTCAGCGGCGTAAGCGCCTGCCTTGCAAGCAGGCAGTCGTGAGTTCGATCCCCGGTACCAATAAAAAGGAAAAAGACAAAAAAAAAAAAAAAAAAAGAAAGAAAGAAATGTAACACGCAAGGACCACATCCCTAAGAGTTACATACTTAGCACAATAACTGAGGAAATAAACACATGTCTACAAACATGCTTTTCAAAACGGTATAAATAAACCTTCACTTTAGGATCTTGAAATCAAATTCGTTTTGATGCATGCAGAAAACCTAGTAACAAGCAAGATGAAACAGGCAATAAATAGCAAAAGAGTAGTCAACATTTGCACAAGACCTTTCTACGAGTCAGGAGCTGCGAGCTTTTCTCCCTTAGTTGTCAGGACCTTGTGACTTAGATGTGACCCTACTCACTTGCAAGGGCTTGGAGGCTGGAATTCCCCAAGGTTCCTAGTGGGGATCCCTTATCCCTCCCCATCTCAAGGCTCACAACACCATGGCACAGGTGAGAAAACCAAAGACCTGAGCCTGCCATGGAAAACTCCAAGTTCCAGGCCAGGACGCACACCACCAGTGACCTGCAGCAACCTCTCTCACCTGCACTCACGGAAAGGTCTCATGGCTGGACCGCACCCACACCATCAATGACAATGGAGGATGATGGGAAAGGACACGTGCTAGAGGCAACTGACATGACGGCCCCTACAGTCCCGCTCTGGAAGCCCCAAGGAGTTGCCCCAAACCAGTGCAGCATTTGAAATCCCTACAGCTCATGCCATTTCCCTCCGCAGAGAGCCCACACCAGGCTCGCTGTCGCCTTTCATACCCCGTGTACTCATAGCTCACCAAAGCAGAGGAGCCTGCCCGGCCCGTCTCCAATCGTAACGAGTGGGTTTTCAAGCTTGACTGTGCTTTAATGTCTTTCAAAACCAGCTATTAATTCCAAAAATCAGCAATGTATTCCTTCCTAAGCTGAATCGACATGGGATAAGAGATACCTCTGTTCTGAACTTTCAGTCTTACTACTGTAAACCTATGAACCATCGCCAATTTCAAATCACCCTTCGTCTACCCGTCCCCGGCCACCTGCACTTGACCTAGGCTCCCCTTCTGCTCACCTCTGCCCACAGCAGCCACGTATGCGTGTGCCAGGCTGGCCCAAAATAACAGCGAGTTAAAGCCCTCCTCCAGCTGGAAGCACACACAGCTGCTGGCCACGCAGGCCTGCGTGGCAAGCAGAGGCCACTTTACCATTTGGTAGAAAGCACTCGCTTATTCAAAGCTGGCTCCAAGGAGAGGAAGCGGCTCCACGCCCCGGCACACAGGGGGCTGCTGGGCTCTTTCAGAGCCATGCAGGCCGGCCCAGCCCTGCACCTCCCAGGATGGCAATGCAGCTTCTGCCACCCTGTGGGTTTGGGAGGGAGCAGCACGTGTGTCCTAGGCCCGAGGGAGTCTGGAGACGACACTGCTCTCAAAAGGAGAAACCTCACTTTAAAGCTCCATCTTGGGGTGCGGGTGATGTTATCAAGACTTCAGGGACATACTCAGGAGCCACAGGGGAAACAGAGTCCAAGTCTTCTGGACCACTTCCCCCTAAAGGAGACACTGTGAACAGCCTAAGCCAAATATGGAAATGAAAGCATTTTATTTATCAAAAAAAAAAAAAAAAAAGGCTTACAGACAAATTTTTTTTTTTTTTTTTTTGTCTTTTTCCTTTTTATCGGTACCAGGGATTGAACTCACAACTGCCTGCTTGCAAGGCAGGCGCTTATGCTGCTGAGCTAAATCCCCAGCCCCCGGCTTACAGACAATTAACAGCAATATATGACAAATTTTTAAAACACAAACAAGAAATCGGGACTCATCAACAAGATTATTTACAGGTTTAGGGTGCACATTTAAGAAGAAATGTCATTCCCAGGTCTCTGGTAGCATGCGTGGGAGGAGCCGTGGCTGGTTCTCCCCAGGACTCGACATAAATAGAGCAAATACCTAGAAGGTAGTTCAGCCTGCAGAGATGTTAACACCCTGGTTTTGAATATGTTTGAAAATAATGACCCAGGCATAGTGGTGTAATCCCAGCACTCAGGAAGCTGAGGCAGGAGGATCTCTGCAAGTTCGAGGCCAGCCTGAACTACAGAGTGAGACCCTGTCTCAGAAAACAAATTAAAAAAAAACCCAAACTGGCTTACAGTGAACATGGCTATGGTTTCCACTGAACAATCACAATCGAGATGGCTCTGCTCCATCTGCAAGCAAAGCAATTTGCCAAGATGACTGTTTTTACAAATGTCATTTCCTGCACACTTTTCCCCAGTGCCGAGGTCCAGCTCAGGGCCCCACATGTGCTACGAAGTGCTGCACCCCAGAGATGAGCATCCCGCAGCTCCCTAGAAATCTAAGGCAGCAGTGCACGCAATCAAGACTGAGAAACAGTTCAGATTCATCAAAGAGGAGCAAAAACAGCTTTGTTTTCCCCAGGTCACTTCCGACCTTCACTCCTGCTTAAAAGCAAAGGCTGACAGTTTCTGATTAGCAGACAGATCCAAAGATTTTTGCTTTTTGGGCAAATTCAGATTTTCCTTCGCCGCTTCCTCCTGGCTTTCCGCGTCATGACTCCCATCCGCCCCGTGTTTTCGCTTCTTGGCTTTACCTCCGTCGCCGACAGCTCCCGCCTTGGCCTTGTTAGTCCACTCCTTGGCAAGAAAAGCACAGTGAGAAGGAAATAGTTTTAAGCAATAACAACAAAACTGAATAAAAATGATTTCTTTACATTTCCAGGTAACACTCTTACAGATAAGATAGAGTAATTCCTATCTAAATTATTAAGCTAACCATTAAGGGTTCTGATTATTAGCAGATCTTTTATTTTATTTTTTGGTGTTTTTGAGACAGGGTCTCATCATGTGGTTCAGTGGGGCCTGTGCTCACTTTGTAACCCAGGTTGGTCTCAAACTCACAACAATCCTCCTGTCTTAGCTTCCCCGGTGCTAGGATTATAGGAGTGAGCCCCCAAACCGAGTTTCAGATTTTTAGTCTTTAGGAAAGGAAATTCGCAACTGTTGGACAAGAGATTGATGTTCAGAATATTTAAGGAAATTAAAAAAATCCACAGACAGGCATGAACACCTGTAATCCCAGTACTCCAAAGAATGCATTCCTCTAAGAAGGCACTCGCGCAAAAAACACTTGGGATCAGGAATCAACAGGGAAAGGCAAGTCAGAAGCACAGCGAGATGTCACCTTACCCTGAAAACAGGTCTCAGCAAAACCCCCAAGGAGCGCATGCTCTGTAGATGGAGCACAGGTGGCCTTGCACCTGCTGGGGAGGTGCTGAAGTCTCCCCAGCACAAGGGCAGCCCCAGAGGCCCAGCGGCCCCAGGTGCAGATGCACCGGTGGTGGAGTGGGGGACACTGCACTCCCATGCTCCGCACAGCCAAGAGAGGCACCAAGCACGCAGTGACCGAGGAGCAGATAAAGAGCCTGCTGCCTTCTCAGTGCCATGCTGTCAGACACACCACAGAGAAGACGATGCCCTGACATTGGTAATGGAAAGGGAGATGACACTAAGTGAAGAAAGTCAGGACAAACACTGCATGCCTGCACTCATCTGAAGCCTGAAAGCATAAGCGAGCTGGGGACACAGCTCAGGGCACAAGGCATGAGGCCTCCAACACCGAGAAAAATAGACAGAAATGAAGAAGTCATGCTGGGTACAGTGGCACACACCAGCACCCGGGAGGCTGAGGCAGGAGGATCACTGCAAGCTTATAGGCAGCCTGGGCTATAAAGCGAGTTCAAATCCAGACTGAACTACACAGTGAGACCCTGCCTCAAAAAAAACAAAAAATGTTGCTCCCACAGAGGCTGAGAGGAGGACAGGTCACCAAGGCTAGGCAGAAGGGCTGGGGGCATGATGGGAAGGTCAGCAGCGGGCACTAAGCAGCCGCTATAAACAGTACTGTGTGGAAGGCTTCAAAGAGCTGGGGAGAAGGGTTGGCGTTTTCACTTAAAGCATAAAACAGTGTCTGCAGGGCCAGACATGCTGCTTCTAAATCTGATTTAAAAGAGATACAATGTATTCATGCACTGTAACCTAAAGGGTAGCCTGTTAATATGCACCGTTTTCATTTAGCAGTTAAAACATTGAAAACACGTCTAAAACATCACATCTTTTATTCTTAACTGCAAAGCACACTAAAAACTGCTGTCCTATTTCTATAATATTTCAGTCTAAATTCAGCTTGTCATTATTCGTATTAAGTAGAAAATTGTTAAGTGCTGGGACTTTTTGAGGTAACTGTAGGGTTTTTTTGGAGGTGGGGAAGGTGGTTTCCAATACTGGAGACTCAACGCAGAGCCCTGGCATTGGGTACAGACAATTTTTACTTATTGATATTTTAAGGTGCTAAGGTGAGGAGGCTGGGTAAGAACTTGCAATCCTCCTGCCTCAGCCTCCCAGGACCGCCATGCTGACTGCAGATCTATGTGTAACTGTAGGAAAGGTCCTGAGTGGCCTTGACCCAGCAGAATCAGTGCTAACATCGTTCAGAACCACAGTCGTCCTCACAGGCAGGGGAGGGACTCAACCTTTATCCCTCCAGGGGAGGGAGCATCCTTCATCCTCCTCCCAGCAGACTGTGTGACAGGCAAGCGCACCCGTGTCATCCCCGAAGCCTGACCCTGTGGCTCCCGCCCCACTGACCACCTGCTTTGCTTCTGAGTTACAACACACGCTGTCTGCTCCCACTCCGGCCACACTGCCACCCTGGAAACGCCATCTAACAGCCTCTGCGCACAGATCATTCATTCTTCAAGGGCCAATAAGGCACAGCATTTCATTCGTCTCTTACTCTTTCAAACTGTGATAGTTCCCTTCCTCTGCTTCACTTTCCTGGCCATTTACTGATCAGCCTCCACCCCACACTGGAAGCTGAAGCCAGGACCTTCACACTGAGCTGCAGCCCTGTCCCTTTTTATTTATTTATGGGATGGGTACCGGGAATTGAACTCGGGCCTCAACTTGCCAGGCAGACACTGCCCTGCTGAGCTAGGTCCCCGGCCCTTTATGCTTTATTTCGAGACAAGGCCTCTGGCTAGGCTGCCTAGTTGCCCAGGTGGGCTGGAACTTGTGGCCCTCTTCCTCAGCCTCCCGGAGCACTGGGATTACAAGTGTGCACTACATCTGGCTCACATCTAATTCTGAGCATTCAAAACCACATGCACAGGCTGCAAATGTGCCCCAGTGGAGGCTGCCTGCATAGCAGGTGCAGCCTCTGGGTTCAGGTGCTGTGTCTTTCCTTTCATTCACTCAGATGCCTAATTCTGGAGAATTAGGCATCTAATTTTCTAATTCTGCAGAATCTTTACTCCCTTTAAAAATACTGACAAAAAAGGGCAGGACACATATAAACTCAATAAACGGTTGTACAAGAGGCTGGGAGTGGGTAGGTCAGATTCTAACTTCCTCCTTACTCAAGACCTTCATGCATAAACCCCAGAGGGAGTGGCTGTGTCACTGTCATTGTGGCCCTGGGGAGGTGTCGGGGGTAAGGTCCTGGTGTGTGAAGCACAGGATTCGCAGCTTCCCAAGGCCAGCTCCTCTTCCCTCCCACGGCAGCTGGACAGAACTCTGATCCCGGTGAGAAAGGTGGGGACAGAACAGGACACCAGCTTTTTACCCAAAAAGACTGTTGTCCGGTAAGCAGGTGGCTTTTTACAATTCCACTTGCAAGGATCATAAAAACATGAATTAACTTTTTTTTTTTTTTTTAAATCTTTTTGAGACAGGGTCTTGCTATGCAGTTCAGGCTGGTCCTGAGCTCACTTTGTAGCTCAGGCTGGTCTTGAAGTCACAACGATCCCCCGAGTGCTGGGATTACAGGCGTAAACCACCTTCAATTTTACTTATTCATCATTTTTGCTTTTGATTTACAACTAATGGATCTTTTCTTGAGGGCATTTCCCAAACAACAAACATGGAGGAACTATACAAATATAAACACTCAACTGCCTAAAAATTAAACACTATCACTGAGCAGGAAATACTACAGATCCACATGTTTGAAACTGACATTTCCATTTATTAATTCCCTCTTTCCATGAGTTTTATGCTGTATTCAATTTCCTAAAACCAGATGAAGGCGCTTCTGTGAAACTTTTTTAAGCCTGGAAAATTCACAAAGATCTTAACCTCAGCCCAATTATCCTTACCTTCCTTTCTTCAGCTGACAAAACTCTAAATCGACTCATTCCTTCTTTGATTATGTCTGCTTCATCTGAAAAGTCAGGATTGTCAGACAAAATATTACTTCTATTTTCCTCCAGCCACATCTGGAACCCAGTCTTCGGCCTAAAATAGCAATTGTATTAAAAAAAAAAAAAAGATGATCAGTACACAGCATAAAGTTCATGGTTTGAGACAGGGTCACACTATATAGTCCAGGCTGGTCTTGAACTTGTGATTCTCCTGCTTCAGCCTCCCCAGTACTATAATTACAGGTGAGGAACACCACCACCTGCTCTAGCCACTTTTTAAATTAGTAGTTAACTATCAGTCTTTTTTTTTTTTTTTTGGTCTTTTTCATTTTTATCGGTACCAGGGATCAAACTCACGACTGCCTGCTTACAAGGCAGGCGCTTATGCCACTAAGCTAAATCCCCACCCCTTAACTATCAGTCTTTATCCACCTGCATAAAGTAAGGGAGACCCTGCTACCCTGCAAGTACTGGCACTGCTCTAAGTGTCCAGGGACCACAGGATTAATGTGCTGAAAAATCCACCACAAAGCTAACCCAGCGGTCACTCACGTATGTCCCGAGGGCATCAACACAAGCTTCCCGCCTCCCACTCCCTTTCTCAAGGCTGCTGGCTTCCACCCAGCTCACTTGGCCCAGCAGCCCCGGGCCACTGTCCTGACTTCCATGGAGTCCTCGGGACCCCTTGCTCTCTGGGCACCTTGACTGCTCTCTCCATTGGGGCACCCACATCACAGGCGCTATCTGTAAGTGAAGGTTGGGGAGCCTGCCCAGCTTCAGCAGCATACTCCCTGGGCATCCTTCGGGCTGTGAGTGACCACTGGTTCCTTCAGGACATGGGCCCAGAGGGCAGGGTCAGGCCAGTCAAGGGTGGCTGGGTCCCCATGTTTACTGCTGCTCCACACAAGGTTGAGTGCAGCCCAAAGGGCAGGATCAAGCACATGCATGACAAAGACATGGGGCAAACGGGCATGGTGATATCGTAAGGAGAGTCAGGCATGGTGGCCCACAACTGTGATCCCAGCACTGGGGAAGGAGAGGCAGAGAGGCTGTCGGTGTTGTGAGTTCGAGGCCGGCCCTGGCCACAAGGTGAGATCCCATCTCAACAGCAAAAAGAAAAAACATTTAAAAGGAAACAAGTGGATATAAAACTGTACCTCTAATACAAACCTCATTAAGTATAGAAGCTTAAATTCACTAAAGAAGCATCAGAAGAAAAGGACTACTTCCATAAAATAGTAGAATCAAGATGTCTAAACTTTTTAACTTTTAGAATAACAAATCATTAAGGAATATTTACAGTGCTCCACGTCTGAAAATTCACAAGTTTCAAGCAATCTTAATTTAATCTTATTCCCAGAAAAAATTACAACAAACAAAAATCAATGCTAAACAAACGTTCTTGAATTTCCAGTCATTAGAAGACTCACTTTAATCAAATTTGGGACCACAACACAGTCTGACTACCAGCATGCAACCTTTTCATCTAAACAGCTGTTTATCAAAAGAAAACTATTTTCTTCTGATTCAGTACATCAACATCTGTGACAAAATATCTGATTAAAGAAGTAAAATTTGGTATCAGTGACCTCGTGCTTGCCAGGCAGGTGCTTGTGCCACAAGTAAAAGGTGTGTTTTTTATATAGGCAGCTGATAGTATGGAAAGCAGAATTATCAATATTCTTAAGTAAAATTTTCACTTTACGATATTTTGACGGGGTGGGGATTTAGCTCAGCGGCATAAGTGCCTGACTTGCAAGCAGGCAGTCGTGAGTTCGATCCCTGGTACGGATAAAAAGGAAAAAGACAAAAAAAAAAAAAAAAAAAAAAAAGATATAAATTGAATTTTAAAAATGAAAACAATTTAACACCACAGCTAGGGGTGGGAAATTAGCTCAGTAGCTTAAGTGCCTGCCTGGCAAGTGCGAGGTCCTGAGCTTGATTCCTGGTACCCAAAACAAAACACCCCACAGTGCAGCTATTCTCTCCTACTCAAATTAAGCTACTTAAGAAAATGAGAAGCTGAATGTGGTAATCACAGCATTCTGGAGGCTGAGGCAGGAGGATAATCTTGAGTTCATGGGCACCTTCAGCTACATAGTGAGTTCAAGGCCAGCCTAATACACAGCAAGACCCTTTCTTGGAAAAAAAAAAGCTATATTCAATGCTAAAAGAAAAATGACACCTTTTAAAATTTAATCGATACATTTATAATAAATCTAGCAAACCAGATATCAAGAAATTTGTTAAGTTTAGGTGGGTGCATGTCTGCAACCCCAGCTATGAAGGAGGCTGAGACAGGAGGATCACTTGGACGTAGGAGTCTGAGGATCACTTGGATGCAGGAGTTTGAGGGCTGTTTAGAGACCTCACCTCAGAAAAAAATAAAGAAAGAGGAAGAAAGGAGGAAGGGAGGGAGGGAAGGCAGTAACAGACTTTAAACGTACTGCATTGGTGGATTGATAGGAAACGGACAGACAGGAATTCTCGTGCGGCTGGCGACACCTAAAATGACACATCTGTATAAAACCACTCAGTAATACCCAGCAGCATTAGAAGTGGATAATAATTGGAACTGCAAGAGAACTGGAAATATAATATATAAATAATATTACATATATATATTTTTATACATACACGTACTGCTTTCAGTCTCTTTTTTTTTTTGTGGTACTGGGTATCGAACTCACAACCTCATCGTTGTCAGGCAGGCGCTTATGCAGCTGAGCTAAATCCCCAGCCCTTCACACACATATTGTTTTGTGATGGTCTTGAGATGCAGTTCAGACTGGCCTCAAACCCATGGTGTTTCTCCTGCCTCAGCTTTCCAAAGGTTGGGGTGCCAGCACAGCTGGCTCTCATATATATTTTTTTATCTTCTGTTGTTGTTTCCTGTGCAGCTGTACTATAAAAGAACAAAACTGAGTCTGTGAAATGTCGTGTCCTAGTGGAATGTACCCACAATCTAAGGCACACTTAGCCAGTGCTGTGACTTCCTGATGCCACCTGCATCCAAGCCCGGCCGTGCCCAGGCCTACCCATGGCGCAGAGCAGCAGACGCCTGTGTGGGATTCTGGCTTGTAGCTAGGTGGGGCCCCGTGGGCACTGACCTCTGGGTTTCAGCATCCGGGGAACACGACGTGGGAGCCGCGGGGGCTGGGGAGGTGGTGTGCGTGGGTGTGGGGTCCTCTGCTTTCACTCCCGAAGGCTGGTCGGCCTGAGCAGCTCTCTTCTGGAAATAGGATGCTGCAGAGGCCTGGAAAACGAGCAGCGCGCTGAATCAAACAGACTTTTACACTACTATAAAAACGGGTTCTGTAAAAACGAACCCTGGCACACATGAAGGAGCATGCACGATTATTTAGGCTCCTTCTTGCAACAAGCGAGGCTTTAAGTTCTCGGCTGAAGATAAACATAGCCACTCGGAGCCCAAAAGCACTATATGCCACACTCGGTGTCTTCCAAACGGTAAAATGACCGGAAACAGAGAAGATAAGGAATAAATTCGGTGAACTGACCACACACATGGGGCGGAACACATGTACGACATCGGACAAACTCAGAACACAGACCAAGGGCTGCATAGGTAACTGCCTGATTAACAAGGGAGGCGTTAAAGCCTGCGGATGGACACCAGGGGCTCTGAGAATGAACGGATGGACGCACAGACAGACAGACACGAACAAGCAGACCCCTAATGGAACATATCCCCCCACCCCGAGCTGGACAATGAGGGACACCTCGGCTCCTCCTCGCACCCCAGACCTGCCGTCAGCCTCAGGCCGAGGGGCCAATTGGTACCTGCTTGGACTTTGGCCTTGGAAGCAGAGGCTTGATGACCGGGGACTTCTCGCTGCCGGCTGCCCGGTGCGGGGCACTGGGCTTCCTGGGCAGTCTGCTCATACTGTCTAAAATATTGGTTGAACGTGGTGGGTTCATGGCTGGGGCTGGCTCTTTGGAATTGGCCAACACCTAAGAGCAAACATCTCATGTTTAAAGGAGGAAACAAAACTCCCGCAGATTCATTTCTCCTTTAGATTTCTGTCCCATTCGTACCATGGTGTCATCTTTGAAAATGACTACGTAAGGTTACGATCTAAAGTGAGATAGTGTACACCCCTCAAACACCACATCCCCCAAACAGGATGCATGGCCCTAAGCTGCAAAACCCAGAAAGCAGAAAGCAGACGGGGAAAAAGGTTATCTCAGCCCTCACTAGTGAGCCAGAGCCGTTGCTCTCCAGGAGGCAGCGGGAGGTATTTTGTGGTCTGGCCATGTATTTAAATAATAGAAAATGTCACTGGGACTTTACCTTGAAGGGGTTCACCCGTCCTTGGCTGCCAGGAGTAACTGCACCTTCACAAAAAAGAGACCTTTATTCTAGTGGCAAATAGCAGATGACTTCTAACTTCTGTAACACAGTGAATATTTTTGTCTGTATGTGGTATATAAAAATACAGGTGCCTTGTCACTGCAAACTCTCCTTAACACAGATGACTTGGTCCCTACCCCTAGGGCAAAGCGATTACAATGGGAACACCCCAACTGCCTGAAGAGACGCCTCCACTCCTCCTCTTACTGATGCAGAGCACTGGGGACCCAGGGTCCCGCCTGTCCTGCCTTGTGCTTCACTTCCCCCAGCATCTGCTCCTCTCCCTCAACCACAGAACTGCATCGCTCAGCTGGATCCCGACCTGTGCTCCTGACCCTAATACTCCAAGACACCTGTTTGCCTCACAGCACCCTACTGCTCCACCCCGGTGGCTCCTCGACTCGGCAGAGGCTGGGTGCTCCCCACTCCCACCCTGTACCTTGGAAAGACTCCGTTGTGAGGCCTTCCTCGGGCTCCCCACCCATTCCCCAGAACTGCCAGGGTCACATGTGCTTAACATCATAAATATGCCTTTTAAGCTAACTGTTTTGCAAGTTAATTTTTTATCTCAGTAATATTTGTATACTACTTTTAAAGTAGGACCACAGTGCTGGGGATTTAGCTCAGTGGTATAAGCACCTGCCTGGTAAGCACAAGGTCATGAGTTCAATCCCCATACCAAAAAAAAAAAAAAAAAGTAGTACCAAAGTAGTACAGACACATTATTTTAAAAGTCAAATGGTGTCATAAGGATTCTGTAAAAACAACAAAACCAAACCCCAGGAGTCCCCTACTCTGCCTCTCCTGTCGCCGGCCTTACTCCCAAAGCAAGTACTTCTGACACCTCTTAAGTGTTTCTCCAGCACCTTGAATGCTTCCTTAGTGACACATATGTCCACACCACCTGTCCCTCAGCAGGACAAAACTGCATTAGCCAGGGACCAACCATGAGCATCTAGCAGGAGTTCTATATTCCTATCCAGCAAAATACCTGACACACACCAGGGATTCAATAATACCATTCAACGGTCAGTTTCACAGGTTACATCTCTGGCAAAACAACACTGAAACAAGTCCCAAAAGGGAAGCTGAGCTTATACAGATAAATCACTTTAAAATCACATGTAGGGGCTGGAGGTTTAGCTCAGCGGCATAAGCGCCTGACTTGCAAAGCAGGCAGTCGTGAGTTCGATCCCTGGTACCGATAAAAAGGGAAAAGACCAAAAAAAAAAAAAAAAACCCACCCTGACCTTACAGATTTACTAGGATTCCTCACCTGACTTAACAGCTGGCACATCAGAAGCACTGGCACTTTTGGAGAACGAGTTCTGTCCTAGGTGTGATTAAAAACAGCTCAACATAAACGAAAATAAAGCCATTCATATTATTCAAGAATCAGAATGCAAAGACAGCTTGGGAAGGTGCGGGGATTCCATGTCCCCAATCACACCGGTGGGGTCAGCCACAGCCCAGACAGCTGACATCTCCTGTTGCACACGTGTCTCACCGTGCCTGTGGGGTTCGGGGTTCTCTTCCATCTCGTCAGCACCACTGTCCTCAGCATCTTCTTCCACCTGGTTTCTTAGCCGTGGCTGGCCCCACTCTGTGGCCGTCCTGCTGTGACTAACGGACAACAGCACGACCCAGTGAGGTGCTGCAGAAACGCTGAGTGCCATCAGGACGTGCCAGGAAAGCGCCAACAACTGAATTTCCTTACCCGGCACTCAGCTTTTGTCTGAAATCCTCCTCTTCCTCCTCCTCCTCCTCCTCCTCCGCCTCGGTGGCTGCCAATTCAGCTGCCTTCTCTACAGCCAGCTCACTAAGTTTTTGGGCCAGTATTAATTTCCGAGAGCGAGAAGCATATTTAATGGCTAAATTCACAGCATTTTGAGTCATCAGATCTGCAAGTTCCACACAACGGAATTCTCGCTCCAGTTTACAAGAAAGCTAAACCGAAAAGAGGGGGAAAAAAACCATTCGAATTACATTCAGTAAAAACTGTTCAAAAACAGTACAGCTCTTTAGATACTGTATCTCATCAGTTCTAAGATGCATAATTTTACACCTTAACGAGTTCACATTTGGAAAGCATCTTACAATTAAAGCCCGGTCTGTCTGGCAGCAGTTTTTTTGTCTGTGGCTTAAATGAACAAAATTACAGTGCCATGTTACAATCAACAGATCAATAGCTGCTTCAGCTCAATGCTAGATGGCATATCATTTCAAGGTGCAAATTGCAAGGAAGGTAAGGAGCTTGTTTAAAAGTCAAACATGGCTCTCTCTCTTTTTTTAAAATGGGGGGGGGGGTCTCACACTATGTAGTCCAGACTGGTCTTGAACTCACTATGTAGCCCAGGCTTACCTCAAACTCATGGTGATCCCCGTCTCAGCCTCCTGAGTGCTGGGATTACAGGGACTAATGTGGCTTAAATGTTCTTTTAAATTAATTTCTAGGGGCTGGGGGTTTAGCTCAGCGGCAATAAGCACCTGCCTTGCAAGCAGGCGGTCGTGAGTTCGATCCCTGGTACCGATAAAAATGAAATGAAAAAAAAAATTAATTTCTAGCTGCTGCCTATCCTGATAGGGTAGAAAATGTGAAAAAACAAACTGTAAAAAATTCAGTTACAGGGCTGGGTAAAAGATTTAGCTAGCAGCATGAACGCCTGCCTGGCAAGCATGAGGTTGTGAGTTCAATCCTCCGTACCGCCACAAAAAAAGAAAAAAAAAAGTCAGTTATGCTGGGCATAGTGGCTCACATCTGTAATCCCAGCACTTGAAAGGCTGAAGTGGGAGGAGCATGATGAGTTTGAGACCAGCCTGGGCTACCAAGTAAGCCAGCCTGAACTGCATAGCAAGACCCTGTCTCACAAAAACCACACAAAAAAGTTAACTACCTTAGAACTGGTGCATAAATGTTGCTATATGAATTGGAGTGGGAAGACTTATCCTTAAATTTTTTTTTTTTTGTCTTTTTCCTTTTTATTGGTACCAGGGATCGAACTCACGACTGCCTGCTTACAAAGGCAGGCGCTTATGCCGCTGAGCTAAATCCCCAGCCCCTATCCTTAAATTTTTAAGTGTGTCTGTGTATGATCTTCAATTACCAGAAAAAGATACTCAACTTCCAAATGAGCAATTCCATGTTCCTGCTCTGTATTTTTATACTGCAATTATAAATGAACAGCATGCATTTAACGTGCTTTAGAAAACACTGCCCTTTGGTCTGAATTTTTGCCAATTCAAATGAGGTGACTCAGTTTCAAAGTGAGGAACCCTGCTAGCTGAAGCCCACTGAGGGTCTGGTCATTCAGCACAGAGCAGTTTGTCACTTGGGCCACATCGGAGCCCTCTGCACAGGTGCTGCTGGACAATACTGGCCCGCAGCCACTACCCACTACCCAGCCAGCGTGCCTTTAGGCAAAGGAGCAGAAAGGGAACGGCATGAGTCTCAGCGATGGGGCTGAAGGAAGCCACAGTCACCACCCCGAAGACTGCCAATCGGCTCAGCATGAGAACTGAAACTCAGGAACTGGGAGATTCTTGCTCCAAAGATAAATGCAGCCCAGTGCCCAAGGTACTGAGGCTGGGCCCTGGTTCCGGACAGATTTTACTGCACATGGCTTCTAACTGGAAGAGGCTGGCAGAAGGCAGGCAGATCTGAAACAGTGGCCGATCCACTGTCCCTGAGCTGCGCCTGTGACGGGAGCCTGAGCGGTGGCTCCGTGTCCTGGTCAGCTGTGATCATCGTGGTCAGCTGCAAACACACCAGGGCCAAAACCACAGGCAGTGGCACCAGGAGTTTATTTCTGTCCATCTCAGCTATGAGGTGATGTTTAACAGCAACGTCACATGGGAAACAGAACTCTTATGAAGGAAAAGTGTGGTAAGAACCAAGACTCTCAGGTGGTAGAACCTAGTGCTTATTCACATCTTTCAGAAATTTAACTACAGAAAACATCTACCTTTCATTTTTGCAGTGTATTTATTTTACTTACCGCAAGCATTTTCATTAAGAGCTCTTGTTGTTCTTTTACTGCTTGATTTTTAGTGCTCTCGTCATACTCGTAACCATTTTCAGCTAAGTAGTCCAGGTGGTTGTGAAACAGAAGCGAACGCCAGAACTGTTCCTACAGAATCAGATGAAAACGCTCAGCGCCAAACATTACCTAATACGGCCGATACCAAATATTTACCGTAGGATTCCAGTTTCTGGATGCTTTCTAAAAATCCTCTTTCTTGTAACTTTAATTTACAATTCAAATTCGAGTGACATTCTGGCTCAGCTGTCTCCTGTCCTTAAAATAGGAAGATGCAGGTGTCTCTACCCAGAGTGCTCTGAACAGTTTCCCAACCAGCGTGATTAATCTTGGAGAGCTTGGTAAGCTGGCACTTTAACTAGCAAGGGGACACGTTTCTTATTTAGAGACCCTGACTGCCCGATTTCAAATGATTTTTATGACACAGGGATAGGACAAGCCAGATGCCTTGGTCACAATGCAGCAGGCCCTACAGAACCTGGGGAGGGCAGCCCTGACGGTCCTAACCCTTTACCTCCTCAGCCAAGGCCCTGGAAGCAAGTGACAGGATAATACACGCTTGACATCAGTCATCATGGTGACTGTAAAACATCTGTGCAACCAAACTCACAGGGCCGCAGTGAGACTCCCACGTACCTCCATCTGGCCCTTCTCCGATGCGGTCTGACAGTACGGAAGCTTAAAGGGCAGCACAGCCACCGCAGGGCGTGGAAGGGTGGGGGGGAACCGGGAACCTTTACAGGGGATGCACCTGTCGGGGGAAGGGGGAAATTCACACCGTGAATACTTTCTGAAATGTCACAAAGCCGCTATCAATCAAAAACCATTCAAGAGTTAGTAAGCAGGAGCAGTAATATGACTCCACTAGCTGGCTAGACGTTATGTAAGACATTTCTTTTTAGGAAAGCAGGTTAGCCTGACGGGGCATGAAGATTATCCCTCCATGTTTTCACCTGCGCTTGGTTAAATAACCATCATGACAATCGGCCTCTTCAGACTTTTCTTAGCAAACTGCCAGCCTTGCAGATCCTACCTAACCTGATGAACTGGGTGACACACACTTGCCGTGAGGACGATATCAACAAGACACAAAGCTGACGCCATGGGTTCCCTCTTATTCAGTGAGAAACCCTTGGGACACACAGTAATGACAGGTTGACATGCCCCGGTGACCTTAGGGGCCAGTGAGACTGAAGCAAAGTGTCCAGTATCAATGGGAAGGCAGTCTAAGAGGCACCAGTGCCAACTTGTCTAAACCTCCTCTCACCAGGCTGAGACACTGAAGATAACCACCGTGGAAAGAACTTATGCTGTTTAATAAACAGTGCTCATTAATCACAGAGATGTGGGCACACATAGCTCTCAGCTTATGCACTCCAAATGGTAGGAACCCACTGGAAAGCCGTAAGTACACACTGGAAGGACTGAGGACCACTTCCTTGTGCTGATAAAGTTATTTATAAATACAGTGTTCTGGTCAAGGCTCCCAACACCTGTCCATTTAATGCACAGTACAGCCTTTCAGTCAGGCTGAAGCCAAGGCATCCTTGAAGGTAAACACTCAGGAGAAGTCAGGCCCGTGGGTTTTTTCCTGCACAGCTCCTCTTGTAAACGCCTACTAGAGCTGGTAAGCTGGTAAGAAGTGCAATACACTAATGCTCTTCAAAGGGTCCCTTTCTACGAGGCAGGAACGTCTTTCCTTCTTTTATGGCCACACAATAAAAACACAAACGTGCTTCCTGACTTCCGACCTGGTTCACCAGGCAGTCCTAGCCTCCTTCTCCACCTCTCCATTGTCCATCTGGCAGAAACTGGGGGCAGCAGAGTCAAGGCAGCATTGAGAAGACCTCACATCTGGGAAAGCTCTCGTCCCATGCAGGGTCACAGGGCGACGACGGCACAGGAAGCACGGTGACACGCATCACGTACATGTGAATAAAGGAGGACCGCTGTTTTGTCTGAACAGTCATTAAAATATGACTAAAGTATGACATCTCTTTAAAACAGTATTTTACAGTTCAAAGGCTTTGTTGACTTAGACACAGCAAACAGTTATTACAAAGAAAAAGGAGATAATGATTAGGATTTCATTAAGAGTCACTTTGTTTTTTGAGATAGTCTCCTTCCATGTTGTCTAGACTGATTTCAAACTCCTGGGCTCAAGTGATCTCTCCTGTCTCAGCCTCTTGAGTAGCTGGGACTACAGTCAAGTATGTAGCCTTTGGCTTTTAGTAGCCATTTTGTTCATTTTTTTTAAAACCATGCTGGGAGTTGAACCCAGAACACCATACGTGCAGGGCCTATGCTCCACCGCCGAACCACAGTCCTGCCTTGATTTACATCAAACCAGAGTGTCAATTCCTATCACCTATTACTTTATTTGGTTTAAAAACTTAAACTAGCTGGGCATGGTGGTGCACACCTGCAATTCCAGCATTGTGGGAGGCTGAGGCAGGAGGATCACAAGTTTAATTTTTTTTTTTTATTGGTACCGTGGATCGAACTCACAACCACGTGCTTGCAAGGCAGGCACTTATGCCGCTAAGCTAAATCCCCAGCCCCAGATCACAAGTTTAAATGCAGCCAGGCAACTCATTAAGATCCTGTCTCAAAATAAAAAATAAAAAAAGAGCTGGGAATGTAGCTCAGGGCAAAGGCTCTGGATTCAATCCATAATCCTGTCCCACTACCCCAAATCAGAAACTTGAGCTGAAAAATACTTTTCCTCTGTTAAATATCCTTCTAATGGAAGAAAAAGGAAATAAACATTCTGACTGCTAATTGGTGGATTTTGTCTACCATGAATGAGTTTTCTTGAAATGCTATCCCTAAACCATTTTGGGGAGGAAATGGGAAAAAATGAGCCACAGCTTCTAGAGAGACCAAAGTACTGCACTTCAGTTCTTTTCCAACCTGACCACGGAATTATTGTTTTATTCTGAGTTGAACAAATACCAAACAGCAGAAGACAAAGGCCAAGTCCAGATAAGCCTCCAGCTAGCGAGTTTTGCTTTCTCCTCCATGGGGCAGGACTCTGCTCACACCGCAGTCAGGGCCCTGCTCAGAGGCCGTGGAGACAAGCGCACGGCAGCACCAAGCTTTAATCCACAAGATACACACTCAGCATTGGGCAGTCAGAACCGAGACAAACCTCATTAGATCTACTTTTCCTGTCCATTAAATATAACCCTTCCGGGATTTTAAAAACTAAAGAGAAAAGAAAGTTTGCTGCTTGCAAAGAGCAAAGTAGACTCTAGCACAGCAAAATCAGATCCTTCGGTTATGAATTAAATTAGCAGTGATCAGAAAAACATCTTTAGTAGCAACTATAAAGGCAGATTTACTAAGCTGTTGTGAATTCAGAGGGAGGAGGGATGACACCGCTACAAACAGATTATTATATTCATAACTAAATAGAGATATTTTGAATTTACGACTGAATCTGTAAAAAGTATCCTGACAAAATGTATTTTCTTCCCTTTTAAAGGATCCCTGAACAAATGAAAGGATGACTACTGCTGTACTGGGTTAGAAAAAGTATTTAAAATGAAAAGATAGAACAAACAGGAGACATTAACCATGGAACCCAAGTTAAACACCGTAAGAACAGTGTCAGGCCCCTCTTCTCACATAGCTAACATCCAAGGCTGCTCGGTGCTAAGTCCTGCTACAAGCACCCCCTCCATGCGTCCTCTTCATGCTGAGCCTGTCAGATGGGGCTGTTTGGGTTTCAGAGGAAAAGAGGCCCAGGGTCTAAGCAGCAGAGCCAGGTACCTTCACCACCGGCACCGAGCATCGGAACTTCTGCAAGTGCTCAGACTCTTGGCTTGCCAGCAAGGATGGGCAAGCCCACCCAGCTGCTGGAGGGTTTTCTCCCTGGACTTTCATGAGTGGGAAGGAAACGCAAGCCAAGCTGCTGTGCAAAGTGCAGCCAGCTGCTATGACTATGCACTTTCCAATCTCTGAACACCACACAAGTTTATTTTCCAGAATGAAGCCAAAAACCAGGCATGGTGGCACATGCCTATGATCCCTGCACTTGGAGGGTGACACAGGAGGACTGCAGTGAGCTCAAGGCCAGCCTAAACCACCTAGTTTTTGAGACCCTGTCTCAAAACAAAAAGCCAGAAAGAAAAGGGCAAACATCCCGAAATGAATCAGCTTATCACCACAGACAAATTCATGAAATTTTCGGCACTCTCCCATTTCTGTGGCATTCGCTTCCGTCTCTTCCATCACTGCTCCGTATGGAAGGACGTTCACCCCGTCTCTCACTCACTCCCTCGGTTCCTGCCACTTCTTTATTGTAACACAGAAAATGCAGGTTTGGGGCCTCTACCAAGCCGTGAGATCTCACACACATTTCCTAATCTCTGGAACAAAGAGGAAAGGCTAGTGGGCAGGCAGGGTGCTCAGGGCTGACCCAAAGGAACCACGGTTAGCATTCTTGTACCCCTGTAGTGCGGCCGAGGATGCAGGTGCCCACATAGGTACCAGGAGATGCTCACAGACGGGTAGCCCAAGTATTCTCCACTTTATGGACTTAGATTTTATCATGTATGTAGGGGATGTGATTTGTAATTACAAATTCATATTTAAAATGTCAGTTTAGGTCTACAGAAGCTGCTGTTTCTATGAATTGTAGAACTACTAGCATTCGAAGTTGTGAAGTGGCCGATATCCAAAAAGACTCTCCTATCTCCCACCAGGCAGGACAATGTATAAAACCCTTCCAGATCTGAACGCTGCTTAGAACCCATTATTTCTTCATCCCATGCTGACTGTAACGGTTACATGTTCCCAGCTATCGTTACTGTGCCTTTTGTGTTTGTTTTTTGGGACAGGGTCTCACTCTGTAGTTCACAGTTGCCCAGGCTGGCCTTGAAAGCCTGGTGATCCTCCTGCCTCCCTTCCTCACGTGGTGGACATCTGCACTGTTTCAACTTCTGAGCTACTGAGAATAAATCTGCTGGGCATGGTGGTACCTGTAATTCTAGCACTGGGGAGGCTGAGGAAGGAGGATCACAAGTTCAAGTTCAATCTGGGCAACACTGTAAGTTCAAGGCCACCCTGGACTAGACAGCAGGAATCTCGTCTCAAAAAAAAGGAAGAAAAAAGAAAGAAAAACAACAGTTCTGGCTCAGCTGGCCAGGCCAGATCCACATTTCACACAGCACACACTGCAGGATGTGCCAGGGCAAAGGGCTGCCGTGTCTCTAACTCCGGCAATCTGTGCTCACCAGGGATTACCATGGCGTACGCCACACTGGCAGTGCGGGAACAGTGATTACCCCACAGCCTCGAGTGTCGGTGAGCTTTCACACTCTCCTCCTGGTGGCTCTCACAATTCCTGTCAGCTAGGAAGTGTACTTGGGTTGAGAGCTGTCCATCACTCAAGGGCCAGCTATTACTCCCTCTCTGATGTTGCCCTTTTGCGGCCGTTTCCACTGGCTGCTCCCAAGCTGACCGCCTCGGGTGATTTTCCTTTTCTCTGTTTTCAGTTCTGCGCTGGAGATAAACCCAGCTCGCTGCACACCACTGTGGCTCTGGTGCCCCAATCCAGACATCGCCCTGCACCCCCAGGCATCCCGAAGAGGCAAACTCTGGCTATGACTGGCCTCTGCCCTTCGATCTGCTCACCGCGCACACCTTGCTGTCTCTCACATCGGGGGCCAGATGACCCCAGTCCTCCAGGCGAGGCCCTTATTACAAGCCACATCTGAACTCCTCCTGTGTGCCCTGTAACACAGCCTCACTTTCTCACACCAGGAGGGCTTAGTCCCCCACCCTTCCGTTCATGTCCCAAAGCCACATCTGTAGCCTTCCAACCCCTCAAGGACACAGGTGTTTTTCTGATCATCAGGTCTTTTGTACATGCTGTTTACTCTGCATGGACATTTCACTCAATTTTTCGATGACTGACTCTTTAGCTTCAGGATTTCTGTCTGTCTGTCTATCTGTCTATCAATCTATTTATATCTGTGGCACTGGGATTGAACCCAGGTCTTAAGTCTCTAAATTGCCCAGGTTGGGCTTGAATCTGCAACCCTCCTGCATCAGCCACTCAAGAATACTGGGGTGAGAGCTGGGTGCCATCACAACCAGTTAAGAAGTCCCATTGTCAGTGCTGCCCCTGCTGAAAGTCTTTCCAAATCACCTGTCCCCACTGTGTCCCTCTATGAGCCTCCACACAGTCTGCAGAGTGACAGAATGCACCCCAGGTAGTCAGTACTACTTTCTGTGCTTCTGTTATCCGCCTCCCCAACCAGACTGTCAGCCTGGAGACACAGCTCCTCACTCCCCAGCCCCTCCACACAGTGCTGACCGAAGTTCTTTCCCGCTAAGAAGGAACCAAGTGTCAAAGAGGAAACTTCAATACAATAGTACAGTGCAAAACTCTATACCAACCCTCCACTACAATAACCATTGGCCAGTCCAGTTACTGAAATGCAAGGTGACCAAATAGTGCACATTTGTTCATTAACTTTTATAAGTCACTGTAACAGGAAATATAAAAATGACAGTCTTATTGCATCTATTTAGGAACTGCCCAAATGAAATGACGCCAGCCCCAGCAACACTCAGGACAGTCAGTATGTAAATGGACGCGTTGCCTGGTGACCCGCAGGTTGCACTGTAAAGTTGGCTGAGCAAAAAATAAATCTTCAAAATCAGTGCATTTATACACATTCAACTCTAAATCACAGTTTGAAATAGAAGATTTTTTTAGAACTAGAACTCCTTTCCCTATCTGGCTGCAGGATATGAAAGTCACACGAATCAACAAAATTCCTGTTTTGTGGAAGCAAAGCTTTTTGTAAATAAGAAGGGGAAGAGGGATTAAAGGGAAGGAAGGGGAATGGGAAAAAAAATCAAGTTACATAATGTATAGGTATAAGCCCCCTACAATGAATGTGATCATTATGTATATCTAAAATGTACCAATAAGCCAGGCTTGGTGGCTCATGCCTATAATCCCAGCACTCGGGAGGCTGAGGCAGAAGGATCACTGTGAATTTGAAACCACCTGGGCTACAAAGTGAGCTCAAGGCCAGTCTGAAATGCATTTGAGACCCTGTCTCAAAAAGGCAAATAAATAAATACATACATACATAAAAATAAAATGAACCAGTAAGGTTAATTTAAAAAATTGCTATTCTGTTCAGTAAGTTTTGTGTAAAGCAGCTGGTTGAAAACTTTAAAGTGAATACAAACATTTCTCATTTAATGACTATGAAAGCCAGTTTGGGCCAAGGATACCTGGCTGCCTGGTAAGTGCAACATCCAGAGTTTGACAGCTGGTACCCAAAATCAAACAAACAAACAAAAAAACCCACCAAAAAAAAAGAAGAGGAGAAGGAAAAGAAGGAGAAGAAGAAAGCAAGTTCCTTACTTGGGCTCACTCAGCCCCTACAAGGGAATTCAAGGCCTCTTTTACAAGGTCACCTTCGCCCGATCTGTGTCCACCCACCTGAGCTGCTGGGGGTGTTCGTGGATCCCCACCACCCAGTAGTGGTCGGACTTCCCCTTGCAGTGCTCCCTGGTGTCACACACAGGCGTCCATGCGTTGTCCAGCCCTCTGTTTAGCATCCGAACGCAGCCTTCAGAGTCCACATAGCAGGGAGTACCTAGGAAATGGCAAAGAGCTCACTCAGAGGAACGGCCCCACCTCCAAACCACATACCCAGGCTCCACTGTCACCTCAAAAGCAAAAAACAAAAGGCAAATAATCCAAGACTGCTTTCTGTAAAACTTTCTGATGTGCACAGCTAAGAACTTAAGGAAGAAAACAACTGCAGGTGATGGGACAATTTGCGCAAATAAAGAGAAAAACAGTTTCAGTGAACACTGTGCCGCCAGTTAGAGCATAACTATTTTTAAGCCCTTTTCAAGAAACAAAATACAGATGAAGGCCCTCATTAAGGGACTGGGTCAGTGCCAGCAGCTGATACAAGGTGGTGACATGAAGAAAAACGCCTCTGTCACTTTTTTCTCCCTTTTCATTGCTGACCTTTCCGTTCCCAAGGCCGAGGTGAACAATTCTCAGGAAAACAAGGAGGCATCACTGCTTCCCACTCACTTTGCAAACGTGCTGGGCAAGCGATCTAAAGAGCCCTTTTCTGTATGTGGCTGCAGACCCTCCTCACCATGCAACAACCAGGGTCCCAGGGACTGCATCTGTCCGGGGAAGGAAAAGCTACCTAAATGGAAGCTGTTACTATGTAAGTACCGAGGATCCTATCCCAGCAGGAAACTGATCTAGAAATGACTCACACTCTCCAGACAGTCAGGTTTTCAGTTATACAGACGAGGGGCATGAATCTCTAGCAGCAGAGATACTCAAGGCCCTGAGAGATGGCTAACGGGTGCTCTAGAGGAAGGTCTTCCTCCCTGTCCTCAGATCGGGGTGTGGGCCACCAGAACAGGTGGACAGTGGAAACAGTGCATGAGTTACAAGTGTAACCTTTAATTTGCAGTGCTACTTTAAAAAGGACAAAAAGAAAAGTGAGCTTTTATCATGTGATCTATTTAATCCAGTATACCTAAAACATTCCCATTTAACATACCATCAGGATAAAAGAATTGAGATTCTTTCCTATTTCTTTTCTCATACTAAGTTTTTGAAATGCAGAGTATTTTATACTCACATCCTAAGTCACATTTCAGGTGCTCCTCAGCTACCTGTGGCTAGGAGTTAACATAGCGGACAGTACAGTACTGAAAATCTGCTAGTCTCTGTGCACAATCTGCTGGAAAAGGCACACCTTCACTATCAATTTACATCTCCTCCTCGCTATCTACCCAGTGAATGTACATAAGAAACAGCTCCCTCTCTGCAAGTCTTCGGAGATCTTCAACATAAAACAACGGCTGTTTTGTCTAACACCTGCATTTTCCAGCTCTGCCAACATTAAAATACAGCAACTTAAGTGTAAATACAGGCAGTTTATCTTTAAAGAAATTATAAATACAACAGGGAAGAGATTTTCCTCTTGAAAATTATCTTGAAAGAAATAAACCGGTCTTGCCTTCAGCCGAGAACCCGACCCAGGTCAGGTGGGCTCTCCTTGTGAGTGGAAGCGGCTCACCGCGCAGAATCTGCCTTTTCTTCTTCCCCAACTCTAACAGCTGAACTCCAAGACACTGATCTCCATCGAACCCAGTACCTAGAAAATGGAATATCCGTCAGGCATCCAAGGTTATTCAGCAACACTGCCATCTACATTCTCTTCTGAACCGATTGTGTGATAATGTAAATGAACTGGCACCACGAGGGGAGCAGGAACAGAGTAACACGGTACACGGACTGTGCATAGAACCTGGCTCTAAGTGGTCATTTCTTCACTCTGGAAATACTTAGAGAACTTCCTAGATAGGGGCACTGTTTTAGGCAAAGAGGCTAACCGGGTCACTGTTTGCAGGAAATTCATGGATGTGGAACGGGGGATTTAGCTCAGCAGTATAAGTGCCTGCCTGGCAAGCACGAGGTTGTGAGTTCGATCCCCGGCATCACAAAAAAAAAAAAAAGAAAGAAAGAAATTCAGGGATCGGTAGAAGACAGACAAATCAAAAGGCAGAAATAGGCCAGGGATATAGCTCAGCAGCTCAGCACCTGCCTGGCCAAGTACAAGGTCCTGAGTTTGACTCCTGATACCAAAATAAACCACCAAAAAAAAAAAAAAAAAAAAGAAAAGAGAAGCTGCCAGAGTTACATTAGTAAGGTGGTACAGAGTGCCTGGCAGATAGAAGGGCTGCTCTGGACAGAACAGTTAGGGGTGGCCATGAGGAGAAAGTAAAACTTGAGCCAGAATAGGAACTGTAACTTAGGCCCAGCAAAGCCAATGTGAAGGGAAGGAAGATCACGGTAGGCACAGGGAAAGCTTGAGGAGAAGTTGGCAGACAGGAACAAGGTGTCCGTCCAAAGAATACAAGGTGTCCGACAGGGCCAGCACATGGTGCTGAGGGAAAGCGGCCGGAGGAGGCTGGAGCAGCCAGCGGAGGTCAGGTGCACAGGACCTCGATCACCTTGCCGGCTGTGCTGACTCCGCCTGCTGTCCAGCAGCGAAGGAGAGCGGGGTGGAAGAGTGATGACGGGATTCATGTTTTGAAAAGGCCACCTGGCTGCCCCAGGAAGCACACACTGTGAAACAAAGGAGCCGGAGCTGGAAGACTAAGCAGAGAGCCCGAAGGTGCAAACACCCCGCAGGCTGGAGCAGGTATGAGCAGAGGAGACACTCTTCCCGGTCACACTCTGCTAGAGTCCAAGTCTGGAGGCCCAGGACAGGGGCCACTGACAGCCGTTTCCAACCCATGGACAGACGGATTGTTCTAAGGCCACGGTTTTTGGTAAACTCCCCAGAGCAGCATCTCAATCTCAATGCGTGGGTCTGGGTCATGATATCAATCAGAGTATTAAAGAATAAAGAGTAAAATGGGCCGGGAGACTTTTGTTGTTCCACTTGTGGACACGCACAAAGTGGCAGGGCAGAAGCTGTTTTCCCAGTGGCTAAGCTGTGCAAAGAGTGAAATACCCTGACCCTGACCACACCAGAGAGGAAGGGCAGATTCCAGCTAAATGACAGCACCAGGCGGGAAGGAGGAACCAGCAAAAAGGTGAAAAACAAGCTGTTAGGGAGGAAAAACACTGGAGATGAATGGCACAGAAACCAAGAGAATGAAGTGTTTTCTACAGAAATGCAAAGAAAAAGAAAACAGAAGCAGAAGAAGCAGAGAGATCTTCTGTAACCGAGACAAGGTCAGCCGAGTGTAGGGTGGGAACTGAAGACAGAAGAGGAGGTGAGAAAAAGCAGCAATCTTGGAAAAGCCACATGCCAGGCGGCTTTGGTCCTCACTCAGGGCTGGTTAATTTGTGAGGAATAAGCTCTTGTGGTCTTTCAGTGGGCTCGCTGAAAGGTAAGACTCACACATGGGAGCAATGAACCAGACTCCACCGAGGAGCCCCGCTGCAATCCAGTTCTGTAAGTAGGATATTCCCACTGGCACTGCTATTGGTAAATACAATAAAATCTCCACATTCAAAGGTCATTCTAGCTGGGCGTGGTGGCACCCGCTGTAATCCTTGTACAGGAGAGGCTGAGGCAGGAGGACCACTGCAAATTCAAGGCCAGCCTGGGTTACAAAGCGAGCTTAAGGCCAGCCTGAACTGCATAGCAAGACCCAGTCTCAAAAAGACCAAAAAAAAAAAAAAAAAAAAGAAAGGAAAAAAAAATCATGCTGATGCAAACACTAAATGCAAGAGGAGACACGGGATATAGTTTAGAACAAAAAAAGCAGCAACAACGAAACAAGTAATTTCCATTTTTCTTCAAATCATGGCAAATGATGAAGAACTGCAAAAAGGCCTACCTCTGTGATAAACGACGAACAGCTGCTCTCCATGTCCCGCCAGCGACACCACGGGCCCAGGGAGGCTCAAGACCTCTTTCTGAACGCCCCCGATGGTGAAGAGCCGCAGGAGCAGGGCGCTGGTGGCGGCAGCGGCCCAGCCCTGGCCCAGGCAGATGGCTTCAATGTCCTCGTTCGGGGGCATGTCTACCATCCACTCTTTGCTGGAGTCCCAAGAACTGAAGTGCAGGCAGTGAAGCTTGCTACAAGACGAGACAGATGCATTCCAACCCTCACATGTGGTGGTTTGTGTCTGTGAAAGCTAATCCAGCCACTAGGCCCTGGAGAGTGTTTTCCTGTGTGCACCACTCATTCAACTCCTTCCAGAAAGTCATTCTAGAAGGTCTTACAGTGACCCCTATGAAAACCATTAAGCAGGGTAACAACTGTCGAGAGTGACTGGATACTGTAAATGTTCGTAAAACCAAACCATACTTTTACAACACAGGAAGCACCACAATCAGGCTGGTTTTACCTATTTACATATATATATATATATGTATACACACACACACATGCAAACACTAAATGCAAGAGGAGACACAGGATATAGTTCAGAACAAAAAAGCAACAACAACGAAACAAGTAATTTCCATTTTTCTTCAAATCATGGCAAATGATGGACTGCAAAGAGGCCTACCTCTGTGAGGTAGTGTATATATATACACAGCAAATATATATATATACTTTTTTTTTGTCTTTTTGAGACAGGATCTCATTATGCAGTTCAGGCTGGCCTTGAGCTCACTTTGTAGCCCAGGCTGGTCTCGAACTCACAAAGATCCTCCCACCTCAGCCTCCCAAGTGCTGGGATTACAGGTGTGAGACATCATGCCAGGCTATACCTAATATATTTTGAGTTTCTTTACATGCTTTAGCAGGTACTTACACAAACAGATAGGTAGGTGTGTACACAAAATCATGACAGAAAAGCCTTGCATGCAGAATGTTTTTTTTTTTAAAGAAAAAATATTTCCAGGCTGGGGCTTTAGCTCAGCGGCATAAACGCCTGCCTTGCAAGCAGGCAGTCGTGAGTTCGATCCCTGGTACCGATAAAAAGAAAAAAGACAAAAAAAAAAAAAAAAAAAAAAAAAATTTCCTCTTTTGTTTTATATAGCTAGATTACCTTCTCTGGATTTCTTTTCTTGACGCACCTGATTACTTCTAATGTCTTTCTCATGATTTGAGATTAAAATCTTTCTGATGAGATATATTTGCTCAGCAGCCAGGGATTTAGCTCAGCAGTTAAGTGCCTGCCTGGCAAGTGTGAGGCTCTGAGTTCGATCCCCAGTTACCTCCCCTCCCCCTAAAGAAGACATGTATTTGCACCTCTCTGCTCAAAGTCTGGTCTGCAAACTAGTTGTGGGTCACCTGGGAACTCGCTGGAAATGCAGGACCTCAGGCCCTGCCTCTGACTTCCAACCGGAACCTAAACCCTACAGACTCCTGAGGGGCTGAGTGCCTGTCCAAGCTGGAGAAACACTGTACTGGGTCATCTTAATGTTTTAATTGTCTACCCCGTGTACACATTACCCAGGTGCTTATTAGTTACTGAATCGACTCAAACGTATTAAACTGGGACTGTGGCACAAGGGCAAGGTGCTTGCCTGTACAAATTTAACTACAAGACATGGGAGAGAACATCTTAGAGAAGTGTTTTTTTTTTTTTTTTTTTTTGTCTTTTTCCTTTTTATTGGTACGGGGATCGAACTCACGACTGTCTGCTTGCAAGGCAGGTGTTTATGCCGCTGAGCTAAATCCCTAGCCCCCTTAAAGAGGTTTTTAAAAGGTACTACTTTTGAATGCAGTAGTAACTCATCTACACATCAGACTGTATACAATATGTAATTTACAGTATATAAACTATGCCTCAACAAAATAAATATTTTTAAAAAGAAAAATTCAGAGCCAGAAGTAGTGGCACATGCTTGTAGGCTCAGCACTCAGGAAGCTGAGGCAGGAGGATCAGAGATTTCAAAGCCATTTTAAACCCAATAGTGAGTTCAAAACCAGCCTAGAAGCCAGCTGTGGTGGTGCTTACCTATTACCCCAGCACTCAGGAAGGCTAAGGCAGAAGGATCACTGCAAGTTCAGTGCCTGCCTGGGCTACATAGTGAGTTCAAAGCTGGCCTGAACTACATAGTGAGACTTTGTCTCCAGGCAAAAAAAAAAGACCACCTGAAATGAATAGACCCTGTCTCAAATAAACAAACAAACTTTGCCAGGTGCAGTGACAGGTGCATATAGTCCCAGTGCTTGGAAGGCTGAGGCAGCAGGATCACCAGGATTTCAAGGCCACCCCAGACTACACAGTGAGTTCAAGGCCAACCTGAACTACTTAGTAAGACCATGTCTCATAAAAACAAAATACGAAGAATTTTAAAAAGCAGAAGAGAACCTCAGACAGAAAGGTATCTGAAAGGACATACATTGAAGTTTTAATAGTGGTTACACCTGAGAGCAGACTCTCACCATGAACTTTCACTTTTTAGAAATTCCTTATTTTCTTATCAATGAGTGTATTACTCTTCAATAGCAGTATTTAATAGCAGTAACACTGACAATGTAAAAAGTAATCCCGTCTCCTGTGCACTGCAAGTGATGCATGTATCATTTTGCTATGCAGTTCAGGAGGTAAAGAGGGGCAACCAGGGCAGGAACAAACATCGTATTTTACTAGCTTCTGTGGCTGAAGCAGCAATTCTCCCTGGCAGTGCCCAGCTCTTCCCAGTGACCCTGTTTACCTTGCCAAGTCATCCATACTCTCGCATGCCAACAAGATAGCTTCGTGGGAGAGGTCCGCGACCGTGTAGTTCAAGCTGTTGGCAAGGTGTGTGGCGTGGTGCACGGAGGTGTCGTGGAACTCCACGTCAATGGCATTGTCCTGCTCGTCATTGTAGCAGCGGATGATTCCGACAGAGTTCCACACCTGCAAAGGTGGAAGGTGAAACGAATCTGAAAACAGAGCCTCCTCAAATCCGCAGGGCACCACTGTACAAAACCACAAGACTACCACTCAAACTGCATCGAGGTTTAATCAGGGAAGCTACGGCACCCAGTGGAACCGTAAGTAGTGTCAGACAGCAGGAGTAGCATCGGACCTAAGGTATACACATGCACATTGACCAGCAACTGAAGTGTTTCACATTTAAAATAAACTACACAACTATATTAAAAAAGTACTTTATAATGGGCTTCTGAAAAACCAAACCATTTAACTCCTCAAAAAAAAAAAAATTCACAATTTTATGTGTAATATGGACACAAATGACATCAGACACCTTTCGATTCCAACTAACTGGTTTACATTGTAGAATAAATGTGTATTTTAAAGCAACACAAATTGATACCACTTGCAAAACTATCTTCCTGATGTACACTACAGGTTTACACTAAATCCTAAAGTTTCTAGTAAAATTAGTACTGACATTTTCTTTATAGATACAATATATAATAAAAGTTTACGCTAACAGGTTAATAAAAATTATTAGTAATAAATACTAATAAAATTAATATATATTATGTGAAGGTTATTGATGGCAACAGTTTTATTAATATTAAGCACATCCTTAGTATATAGACCAGGTCCACACTTTTCAAAACAAGAAGACAGGGGCTGGGGACTTAGCTGAATGGAGTAAGCGCCTGCCTAGTTATGAGTTTGATCCCCGGTACCAAAAAAAAAGGTAAGATAAGACGACAGGCAACTCCTTAGAATAGGAAACCTCAAAAACCAACAAACAGAAATATTAAACTTTCAAAGTTCTCAAATCTGAGGCAAGTAACTGATCATTCAACAAATACATACTTAATGCCTTTAATGCCGTATCTTGTTCTAAATGCTAGGATATCAACTTAAAAAGCAAAACCAAGCCAGCGAAGAAGGACTGGAGACACAGCCCAGCAGTAGAGCAACCGCCTGAAACACACTGGGCCTCGCTCCCAGTACCACAAACGAAGGAAAGAATCCCAGCGCCTCTCTACCCTGATGGAATGGCACTTCAGGGCGGGGTCCTGCGGGGCCATTTCCCTGCCCACAGTACTCATCTCTGTCCTTCTAAAACACCACACAGGAAGTTGCCTGCGAACACCTTCTACAGTGTTCTGGAATCACCGTGACTTTGTATATGGAAACGAAGGTACTGTGAGGAGGAAGGTTTGCAAGGATGGCTATAAGACAGTCATTTATTTAGGTCATCATGGCATTTTTCCCAGCAGAATTTTATTCAACTGATTTTCAATCATAATGTTGAAATGAGATTAAAACAATGAGTGAAACCAACTGTAAGATTATAATGAAATAAAATGGAGCGGGCCATTTCATCAGGGTTTTAAAAAAATACTTCGTTTTTTGGGGGGGTTACCAGGGATCAAACTCACAACCTCATACTTGCCAGGCAGGGGCTTGTGCTGCTGAGCTATATTCCTGGCCCTAAAAACATTTCTTATCCCATGAAATAGCACATAGAGAAACTGCTGGAGGGAGACAGGACAGTGAAATTCGGGTCCTGGACGCACCATGAACCTGTGGGTGAGGTAGGCGGGTGTGGACCCCGGCTGGAATGGCCTCTGCCGGGGAGTTGGCCTGGGCCCGTCCCACAGTGGCCTCTGGGATGCTGCTGGTGGCAGGCCACGCAAGTTGCCTGTGTGGTCCTCTTCCTCCTCTCTGAGAAGCCCGGACTTCAGTCCTGCACCATCTGTAACATGAACGGGAGAGCACTATGGACACAGGTGAGCTGAGCGAAGAAATGGCAAGCCCTCCATCGCCCCTGGTGACAGTGGCAGTGACAGCAATGCACTCCACCCTCTGCGGCCTCACTGCAGAGAGAGAGGGAGACCAAGGCGGCAGCACTGGTCCAAATCAGCAGCCACTGCGTGCCCAAACTACAGATGCTAACCGTGGTCAATGGCGACCCCTGCACAGGTGGTGCTGGGAGTGGAAGGAGAAGTGTACAGAAAGACATGGTTGGCAGGAAAGTGCTCGGGCAGTGCGTGTCCTACAAGCTGGGCCGCTCGACTCTCACCAGAACCCAGCTGACACGGTCCTGTGGCCCACGATGTGTGCCCACTCTCAGTGGGAATGAAGTCACTTAAGAGCTGAGTTTGTTACCAGTGAGAAAAATTTGAGCTTTCCAGCAAAACTCTGAAAACTGGAAAACCTGTATTTGCTCTCATGAGCCTGACAACAATCAAACATGTAAAAACTTTTTTTTGGTACCACAAATTGAACTCACAACCTTGTGCTTGCCAAGCAGGCACTTATGCCACTGAGCTAAACCCCCAGCCAAACATTTAAAAACTTGATGAGGTCAGTGACAATGATTTACATGAGGAAATGAAACAGGATGAATTCGAGGAAGGCCATGGACTTCAGTGAACCATTATCTTCCAAAGCACCACTGCACAGCAAAAAGCAAATAAGCAGAAATACAATCCATTCTAAGTTCAACCAACCAGTGGACTTCAGAGTAACAGAGCAGAAGTTCAGACTCCACAGTACAGTACTCTCTAGGAAACTGCCATTACCAGGTGTATGGCACACACCTGTACAGCCACTCAGAGGCAGAGGCGGGAGGATCACAAGTTCGAGGTCAGCCTGGGCAACTGAGCAGCACTCTTAGATTACCTCAAAATAAACAGGGCTGGGGCTGTAGCTCAGGGGTAGAGCACCTGCCTGGGTAGGACATAGGGAGACAGACAGAGACAGGAGGAGGGGGGATAAGAGGAGGAGGAAAGGAAAGAACAGCCAGCAGGTGGAGGGTACACACATCAGCTCAGTTCGGGGAAGTATCACAGCCTGTCAGTAACTCCCTGAACAGGCTACCTAAATACTTCTCCTTCATGAATTTCACAGTCGTGTGAGGTCGAACTTTCTTCAGGCAAAACTGATCCATGGCAACAAATTTAATCCACAAAATGAGACAATGCTGGTGTATCCTGTGACAGACATCACAAGCACTGCAAGGCCACGCCTCACTTTCTGTTTTCTGTGAAAACATACTCAGGTTTACCTGAGTTTCTATGTAATGTCTAAATATTTTTTTAAGTTTCTCCACTTCAATTTCTAATATAGTAAATAAAAAAGATATTGCTACATTACATAAACAAATGTTCTCTGGAGGCCTTCAGGATGTTTTTTAGAGTAAACTGCTCCTAAAACCAAAACATTCAAACAGGGCATGGTGGCTCACACCTATAATCCCAGCACTCAGGAGGCTGGGGCAGGAAGATCACTTGAGTTCGAGACCAGCCTGGGTTACAAAGTGAGCTCAAGGCCAGCCTAAATTGCATAGTGAGACCCTCTCTCCAAAACACACACACACACACTGAAGCCTGCTGGATCCAGAAACAGTGTGATTTCAGCGCAGGATGAACTTACTATGTAGCCCAGGCTGGCTTTGAACTCATGGTGATCCTCTTGCCTCAGCCTCCTGAAAGCTGGGGTTACAAGTATATGCCACTAACCCTAGCTCAAAACTTTTCTTTTTAAACAACTTTTTTATGGTGACACTTTATTTGGTAATGGTCAAATGTGTTATTTTTTCCATTTAAGTTGTCTTAACAGGTAATCTTTGAAGGTTTCAAATTATAATCGCATGTTAACAGATACAGTATTATTCTGCTTATTTCTCTTTGAGTTAGTTTGGCAACTTGCATCTGAGTAAGTTTGTCCATTTCATCTACGCTGAGGAATTTGTGAAGACAAACTTGTTCGTATTTCCTCTCATCTTTTGGTATCAGCAGCACTGCTGTCTCACAGAAATGGGTGACACACATAAACTGTCTAGTAGCCCTTTACTCTCACAGTTAAAAATAACACACTGCATTTACAGCACTCTTTTTTGTGTGTGTGCCGAGGATTGTACTCATAACCTCGAGTTTGCCAAGCAGGGGCTTACGCCACTGAACTAAACCCCCGGCCCTGGTATTATCTTTTCAACACGTACTCAATATAAAAAGTTGGCTGTGCTGTTGTGCATTCTTTTTCTCATATTATCTTTAAAGTCCTACCTGGTTTCACTTTACACTTAGAGCACATTTCAATCTGAGCTAACGTCACTGAACAGCTCCCCGCCACATGGACTGCCCACATCTACACGATCAAGGACACAGCCTTGATTTGTTCCTTATTAATCATGTATCTTCTCTTCATCACTTATGATAGTTATCCGTTTCATTGATCTTTACAAGGAAACAGCTTCAGGTTTTGATGATTGCACAGTTCTTCCAGCGTCACCTTTATTGACTTTTGCTCTTTTCTTATTTCCTTCCTCCTTGTTTGGAATTTGACTCCTTTTTCTAGTCTGGTAAAGCTGAAAGGTTATACAACATTAAACTTCTGTTTTGAGTCAGGGCTCCCTATGTTCAAGGCTCGCCCTTGAACTCACTATATCTCCCAGGCTGGCCCTGAACTCAGTGATCCTCCTGCCTCAGCCTCCAGAGTGCTGGGGATACTGATGTGTGCCACTATCCCTGGCTGGAAATTTTCTGACATAAGGATTCAATATGATTGATTTTCCTTGGTATTGTTAGCTACATTCTACAAGTAGAATAATGAATAACACTTTTAATAAAAAACTGAAAATATTAATCAACCAGGTAGAGTATCACATGCAAAAACCTAAGTCGTACCTACTGAATTTTCATCATCTTCTAGGATGTGGTTTCGCTGTCGAGGGTGACCTGAGGCCACCATGAGATCATCGTCATCCTCATCGTTTGTAATCCCTCTCGGAAAAGAGGAGATCCCCACTGCGTTGTCATCTAGAAAACCTCCCGCATCACCTTTATCGTCTCCATCGAACAGGTCATCGTACTCCTTTTCCACGCTGCTAGGGACCTCGAATAAAGAGATTAACAAAACTTAGGAATTATTAAGTAAGCTTCCTGGACAGACTTAACTACTCAATGGACAATCTTTTTCTTTTCTTTTTTTTGGGGCAATCTTTTTCTAACTGTTCAGGGTAGGGACCCAACCCAGGGCCTCACACATGGAAGGAACACGTTCTACCACTATCTACATCCCCAGCCCCAAAGGCCACCTTTTGATATGCATTTATAAATTCTGTCAGACAAATGCCTCAGAGAGAAGTATAACTAGAAAACATATTTATAAAGACTGTATTTACATTTCTGGAATAAGATTCAGTCCTTATTTTAAATGGCTTGTGGTCGGTGCCAGATGTGGAAGCAAATTTACAGTACACGCCAAAACAGAAGACAGGAGTTTATTCCTCGTGTCATTCCCCAGCACAGAAGCTACCCTGCGTTACTAACGAAGTCAGTCTGAAGTCTCTCACACTGTAAGACACTGTCTTACCCACTTTCACTTGGCATAAGACACTACTCAGGAAAGAGACACTTGCTCTTTGCAATCCCGGTTAAAGCTGGAGGGTTTTTAAACACAAAGAAACAAAGTGCTAGAACCAACACAAAAACAAGGAGCTAAGGAAACAGAACACAGACTTAATCAGCACTAGTTAAGAGCAGGCATAAAACCTGTGTAGGAGTTGGGTATTACTGTTACAAGCTTTAGCAGGGATCATGCAGTTCTTGCCCGGGACAGCGCAAACTACATAGACGCTAAGCCAAAGGAGAGTTACAGTCCTGTGGTCAAAATGCTGACAAGAACACCAATCACAAATTAAAAGGATTCTATCGCAAACCTTTGAAATGGACATAAACATGACTGAATTTCAGAAAATTAACATTCAACAAAATGGCAACAGAAAAAAACTTCTAAATTCATATAAACATGAATTGATGAATAACTAAACATACTAAATGCTGTAAGGTAAATTAACCAAGCCAGCAGCAGCTGTGCTGTGAACTAAAGTTGCCAAAACCTTCTTTGGGGTCTTGTTGGAAAATAGGGGTTTTATTATTTACGGTGAAGGCAGAAATAAATACTGCAAAGAATAAAAGTCAAAAGGACCGAAGGTCCTCAGAAGAGGTGACCCTTGAGCTAAGTAATTCTGGCTTACTCTACTTCTGTTTTTATCAATGTTCTCCTTCTGTACTGGTTTGTCAGTTTACGATAAATACGAGAAATCTGCAGAGCCCCAACTTCTCAAGCTGTTTGGTTTCTGGGCTGCTCTCTTTCCTTTGTGTACGCAATACTCCGGGAACACTTTCCGTTAGTGACCCTGACCTGTGCAGGACCTGTGCGGCAGGTCCTGTTACTCTCCTGCTGCGGAGGACGGGACAGCAGACACCCTCTTCCACCCGCTGCCCTGGTGTGACCAGCGCTCTGCTCTCCGCTGCTCCTGCCCACAGCAGTACGTTCTCAGTTCAGGTCAAGCCACACAGAGCACCTGGGCTACTCAAATCGCAGGAATACTGCTCATGGTGAGTACAAACTCTACAGCCAGCGTTTACAGCATGCATGGATTCACGCATTCTCCACAACAACCCCGCAGGCAGGCACTACTGCTGTCTCACAGATGCGCTGCTGTGGTCACTTCTCCTTCCCTCTACAATTTTTTGTTTTCCCACAAGGTAAGAATCTCTTCTCTCTTTCAGTCTTTTCTTCTGAAGGGATTCCCAAAGATGATTCTTCCTATTGCCTGTTTGGAAAGCATGAAACTGGCTGACAGAGCCCTGGAACATGAGCTCCGGAGAGCTGGGAATCTCTCCACGGAGGTCTCCACTACTGTCATTTAATCCTGCGGTTTCATTCAGTATCATTCCCTACCCGCCTTGCTCACTGCCTCTCAACTGTAATCAGCAGCCAGGGCCAGCGGCCTCGTCTGTTTCACCTCTGCCCGAGATCCAATCCCAGCATCAGCCAGAATGTACATAGGGGCAGTGGGCATCGCCCAGGGGTGCAAATGGACACTGAAACTGGGGGCGTCTATGTGCTCAATAAATCAACGCTGCTGCTGTTGGCCTCCCTTTCAGAAAGCCTAATGCGACCAGGTGGGGGTTCAGTTAAGACAAACTGAGCTGCCCCTGGGCTTCTCTCGCTGCGGTCTCAGGAGCCAATTCCTTGAGAAGCTACTTTTTGACCATCCTTCTGTCTGGCTTCCACACTTCTATTCCTGAGCTGGAGATTTAGCTCAGCAGCACAAGCGCCTGCCTGGCAAGTGCGAGGCCATGAGTTTGATCCCCAGTACCAAAAAATAAAAAATAAAAATTCTATTCCTTCTTGATTTCAACTGTCATCATTAACCTTAATGGATTATTCATCTGATTTTTTGTTTTACCGCATCAGGGTTTCACAGTTTGAGGTTTCAGGAAGAGAATAAAACGCACATATTTAGTAACATAATCTTTAACAGGGAGTCTAAAGTACAACTTGAAATAGGAAAAGGTACATATAACAGACAGCACAATGAACAGAAGCAGGGACATATAAAACAACGTGATGCACTGAAACCACTGGAGGACAGCACTATGACAGAGCAGAAGGGTGCAGGGTGCTCTCAGGAGTTAGGGCAAATTCAGAGCAGAAAGTGTGAGGCTCAAGCTGACACTGCTGCTGCACGGGCTCCACGCCATGGCTGTCAAACATTTACCTGACCATCTTCAAAATGCCAAAATCTTCAAAAGAAAATACCAAAATCTTCAAAATACTAAAAGGAAATACCAAAATCTTCAAAAAACAAAAAAGAAAAAACAGGGATACTAACACAGAATTGTACAATACAGAGGACATCCCTTGGAAAGATACTCTACAGAGGAAGCATTTCCTAGTAAAGTATCTGGAAAAAAAAAAGACAGGTTGAACGAGCTTAAGAGCAGTTTCCTAGATTACTGATTATTACTGGGTCTCTAATTCTGAATGAGATTTTCATTGTCTTTTTTTTTTTTGAGACGGTCTCACTATGCTTGTAGCTTGGGGTGGCCTTATACTCACTTATGTAGCCCAGGCTGGCCGCAAGCCTGTGACAATGCTCCTGCCTCAGCCTCCCGAGCACTGGGATTACAGGCATGTGACCCCATGCCTGGCTTGAACTGTAATTCTGTAAGACAGTCAGGTGGCCTATGGTGTCTTCCAAGAGCACAGCATACAGAAGGCTGTGAAGTGACGGCTCCACCATGCCCTCCTTACCTTGCTGCCCGACACCTTCTCGCTGGGCTCACACACGTTCTCCAGCAGCCCCAGGTTCCCCTGTGCATCTGTGTACGAGATGCGCCCACAGGTAGGGTGCCAGGCCAGGCCGCAGACTGTGTAGCCTTTCTCATGTTTCACCCTACAAATTAAAGAGTGGGCTCTTAACATACTGCCAGGAAGAACATCAGCTGAAAGCAGCTTCTGATAAATTTTGGTTAGAAAGCTGAAACAGCTTCTGACGATGCAACAGCTACACATTTTCATTATAGTTAATAACTGCAACTGTGAATGCTTCCTAAGAAAACAAAGCAAAAAGACTCACAGGAAAAAGTGAAGAACCTAAGATACACTAAAGCGTACCTTTCCACACAGGCTTTGGCTTCCACATCCCAAACTACAATTAGGCCGTTGGTACTACCTGCAGCTACATAGCGCCCACAGGGGGACCAGGTTACCACATTGAGGCTCTGTAAAGAGAAACAGTAACAATTCTAGGTAATTCGAATATTCAATTCATTACCAAATTCAAAGATTTACATCCCTATTCTATCTTATTTATTTGAAAAACGGAATACCAAGACACGTGTTTCTGTTTTTGAGACAGTCTTGCTATGCAGTTCAGGCTGATCTAGAACTCAGTTTGTTCATTTTTTTTAATCGTTCTTTTTCATTAATATTCACCTAACATTGGCAGTTATTGTTTTGTTTACCATGAGAAAATTATTGCACAATTTTAAAAGTTAAATGCAAGAACTACTGTTCTTACAGAAACAAGAGACAGTGCAAGGTGTCCTCTCAGCATCCACCTGAGACAAAGCAAAGCAGTACACGGAGTGAGCCTTACTGAGCCACCGCCCACCTACAGGGCCTCGGTCCCTTGATGACAAAATGTATAAAGTGCACCAGGAAAGAGTGAGCAAGAACAGAGATCAATGACCTTTCCAGGTCTAAATTACAAGGACAGAAAGAGTAGGGGAGATGGAGGAAGGGGAAAGGAAGGAGAGAGGGAAGACAGTGGTACAGAAACAGATTAACAAGATTGTCCTAAAATTTCAGAGACTACAATCCAACTCTGAGTAACACACCCTTAATAGAAGCCAATTACTGATCAGGGCATAGAGCTCAGCGGCGTAAGTGCCTGCCTGGCAAGTATAAGGGCATGAGTTTGACTCCTAGTACCAGGGGGAAAAAGAAGCCAATTACTGGTTCTCACAAAGGAGAAAAGTCAGATGGGTCCCACAAGTATCCAGTTACCGTTGCAACACCGGTGGCAGGGGCAGATGGGAGACACCAGCCACACAGCCTGCAGTTGGTCCCCACGTCCACTCACAGCTGACAGCAACCACGTTTGAAGAAGGAAGCGGAAGCTGTTTCCTGCGGCCCTGGAACCTACCTGAGAAATGGAGCCATCTGAAAGATCAAACTGATTACTCCAGGTTTCTCTTCTATACAGCTTCACAGACTTTTCCACTGGAACTGCCAGTAACTATTAGAAAAGGACAAGTTAAACAGAAGCAGATACTACGTTCATTGAAGAGGAAAATACGGCAGCAAACTCATCCAAATAAACTTATAAGAACCTCTGTTTCCACTCTTCCACTCTGTTTTCTTCTTCTAATGACATTTCTTAACAAATCTAGGCTCTTTGGACCTAAAAATTCATCCCATTTGCTAGAAGGAAACAGCCATAATCCTCTATGTTCAAGAAAAAAAGAACAGGAATTTGTCTTCTTAAGTAGCCTTCCAGAAAACAAATCAGTAGTTTAAAAAAAAAAAAAAAAATGGCAAGGGTAAGGGTCCAGCTCAGCGCAGAGCACAAAGCTTTAATCCTCAGGAATCCTCAGGACAAAGAAGAGAAAATTTGTGTGTTTTCCATATTCACCCTATACATATATGCACATATGAATGTAGTTAAAAACCGTAAAGCCATGTCAGCTTAATTAATTCTTACATTAATCAAGTTAATTCCTGTTTTCAAAGCGAAGAAAAAATATACACTGGGTTTTTAAACTATCATTTCAATGTGGAAAGTATATGCTTATAAGTCATGACTTAAAAAGGTACACATTTTTGGTCTTTTTCAGAGACAGAGTCTTGCCACACTGCTCAAGCTGACTACAAAAACTGGCTGCACAACCCAGGCCGGTCTTGAAGCTGGAACCCTCCTGCCTCAGCCCCAAGTGCTGGGAGTCTTAAGTGTGCATGACGACACAGGCTTACACAATGGGGTATGGTATGTTCAAAGTCCCCCTCTTGTTCCTAAATCCTATTTCCACTCTTCTGAGGCAAATGTAACTATAGGATACATGGAATGCGTATGTACATATATTTAAATATACATAAAAATATTTGTATTAATAAGCTAGCACCTCGTTACTGTCTCACAGTTTGAGGTCTTTTACTTAACAATGTATCTTATCCCCAATGAGGATATAAAAAGAAACTTCATTCTAACAATTGGCAAGACCCACACTTTGAAAACTATCAGGTTCACAGCCAGGTGTGGTGATGTAAGCCTGTAATCTCAGCACTTGGGAGGCTGAGGCAGGAGGATTGCCGAAAATTCGAGGCCAGCCAAGGCTAAAGAGTGAGATCCTACCTCAAAAAAACAATAAACCCTAAACAACAGTAACAAAAAGAGACTACCAAGTCCCTACAAATGAGCATTTGAGACGGTCTCAATCTTCTCCTCTATGAACCGTGGCAGAAGTTTTTGCTTTACACACTCCGCAGAGCACATACACGTGAACATAGTTACAGGATATGGGTCAAGCCCTCCTTGGGGTGCAGAGGGCAGCAGATATACGACTGCCACCAGTGTCTCTCTGCACACTGCCTCTTCCCGTGTCTCTTCCATTTTTTCACCAGGCCCTTACCAATATGTATGGACACTGCATCAGGAAGACTAGCCTTCGTACCCTGTTTCACACTGTTTCATCCTGGCTGGCCCTCGGTCCTAGTACTTATCATGCAAAAATGTTTATGCCTTAGCCAGGTTTCTGAAGCATTTCACGTAAATAGAAAGCTTGAAAAAGTAATACAGCAATTATCTCCAGATTCCTCACAAGAGGCCTCCGAGAAGCCCGTCCTTCTGGGCTCCTGGCGTCCAGGGCTTTGTTCCTTTTCTCCACCTTCAACTCCCACATATCCGCGTCTGGTTCTGTCTAACAGACATGCGTGTACAAGTCAGCAGCACACTTTCCACTCCCATGTTTTACAGTGTGCTCTAATATCAGATGGAATTAGACGCTTTCCGGTGCGCTCCCTTTCCAAACTTTCAGCTGCCACAGACTTCAGAACTCGCTCTGCTGGTCCTCCTGAACCTCTTACGGGTATTTTTATATTTAGTGCTGTTGACATAGCTGATTAATTTAGGGAAAACCACTGTCTTTCTATATATCAAAAGTTCTTTCTAAAAATGGAATCCATAGCCAATAGTGGTGGTGCACGCCTATAACCCCAGCACTCGGGAGGCTGAGGCAGGAGGATCACTTTGAGTTCAAGACCACCCTGGGCTAGTGAGTTTGAGGCTGGTCTGGACTACGTAGTGAGAAGCTGTCTCGACATAAAAAAAGAGGGATTTCTTTCTCCTAGACTACTTCTACTCCTTAGCAGCCTGTTAAAAGTTTTCATGCAGATCTTGCACATTTCATAGTACATTTATGTCCATTCACTTTATATTTTTTGACTTCACAGCAAAAACATTTTCCCCCACCGTATTTATAAATGGCTGTATTTCTACATAGGATTGCTTTTGCTTTTTTGTATTCATTATGTTTCCAGCTCCTTTACGGAATTTTCTTCTTTTGCAGTGCTGGTTGGGGATTGAACTCAGGGTCTCACATATGCTAGGCAGGCCCTTTAACACTGAGCTATTTGCCAGTCCTCGAATTTTCTTAATAGCAGTAACACTTTGTTCTCTATCTGATTTCTTAGGAGTCTCTTTTATATAGGCATCTGTTTGCAAATTGAAAACATTCTCTCTCTTCATAAACTTCTCGTAACTGGCTTATCTAACTGCATCTGTTAGTACCTTCAAACATGTTACTAGGAATGCGATGAGACACAATTAGACTGTTTCTATAATTATTCCATTAACCATGAATGTAGAGAGAAATCTAAGCTTAATTTGTAAAAGACACACTCCAAAAAGAATCTAATTCCAGGGCCCAAAAAAAAAAAGAATCATTAAAAAGCTGAATTGTTTCTTAAAACATTTAAATATTAATAACCTGGCTTGTGCTCCAAAATTTATAATCCAAATAGAACAGTTATCATTTAAAAAGTTATTTTTACACTCCAAATTGACAAAGATCAGAAATAATTCAAAGGCTGGAAAATCAAGTCATTTACCTTCCCACTTCCAGGCTGCCAAGCGAGTCTGCAGATGGATTTTGCGTTTATCACATCGTTGCATTTCTGTAACAGTGGCCAACTCACAGCACACGTCTAATTGTGAAAAAACAAAACGCATTTGCCTTTACAAGAATTCTCGCTACAGATGTACGCAGAACTGAATACGCTTAATAAGGGTTCTCTTATATACCTCAGGAAAACAAAAACCTAATACATTTAATTCTAATAAATATTTGAAAACTTAAATTCTATTTTTTCTTCTTTTGGTCTTCTGAGACAGAATCTTGCCACGTAGGGTAGTTCAGGCTGGTCTTGAACTCACTATGTAACTCGGACTGGCCTCAAACTCTCAGCAATCCTCCTGCCTTAGCCTCCCAAGTGTGAGGAGTACAGGTATGAGCCACCATGCCTGGCTTGATTAACTTAAATTCTTTTAATCTTCAGGAGTATGAAGAATAAAAGCTTTAATTAAGAGTATTTTTTGAGAGGAAAAAGCAAACAATATACTAAAAACACTCAATACTTAAAAAACTGTGTCTACAAAAATAAATAACATTTTATAAATAAAAAAATAAATAAATAAAACTTGAAAGTTTAGGAGAGAGGTGAAGGAATTGCAGCTACTGAGGGAGAATTTTCTCCCAGGCCACATTATTTCCAGAAATCCCACGTTTGCTTTTAAAATCTTGGAAAGGCTTAACCATTTCCTCTATACAGCCTTTAAAATTTGTATCAAGCTGAGTGAGAAGTTATATACATGTTTAAAATCAAGCGTGGCCCTTACCTTGTTTATCCTTATGTCCATAACAGTAAACACAAGCCCAACATATACTAATTATCTTGTTTATGCATAACCGTACCCTCCCAAGTAGGAAGCTTCAAAAGTAAAATACAAATCTATCATTCTCCTTGGGCCAGGGACAAAAGCAATTAGTTGTCTCCAACACAGCTACTTTTACACTTATTATTCTTTGCTACTCAGAGAAACAAATCAGAAAGAAAAATAGCTATCTGACCCAATCACACACAGGCAACACCAGACGTGCTACAACAGTGGGTAAAAAACTTTTAAATGCAAATGACTGAGCTTACCTGATCTGAAATTTGCCACACTCTGACACAGCCGTCACAGCTGGCTGATGCCTGTAGAGACAAACAGATTTCTCTGTCACAGCTAGAATGCCACAGGACGCTAGGTTCAACAGACTCGATCTGCTTTCTACCAACTGAGTAAAGTTTTTCTAATTCTGCATCATTTTCAACGCATTAAGAAACACACACACACACACACACACACCATGAAAAAAAAAAAAAAAAAGAATTACCACAAAGACGTCTTTAGGATCAAAAGCAAGACTCAAAACAGGGGCATCGTGTCCTCGCAGTGTCTTTTGCTGGCCGCTATCCGTCACATCCACGATTTTGATGAGGAAATCACTATAGACAGCAAGAGGAACAGGCAGGCCTAAGTACAAACACAAAGCCTCTCCCAAAAGCTCTGACTCAAACATTTCACAATCGGAAGGACCAATGCTATAATTTCTTTACAGATACTTACAAAATTGGCAACTGAAATTTATTGACCTTTACATTAAATTTTTTTTGTTTTGCTTTATAAAGATGCTTAAACACAAGTCAAGATTTCCACTATGTTAAAGTATAAACAGCGCCCAGATGGCTTCTTCAGTCTAAGCTGAAGCTTAAGCCTAAGCTTTATTATTTGTTAATCTAATTCCAGCCACAATCATATTTTCAATCTTTTTTATTTTCATCAGTTCGTGTCTGTAGTACACAGTGATTATGTTCACTGTGTGGAGGTGGGACATGTACATAGCACATCTTAATGGTTAGGGCCAGGGATGCAGCTCAGCAGCACAGTATCTGCCTAGCAGGCACCAGGTCCTGAGTTCGATTCCTGATAATCCCCAAAGTTCTTTTTACCTCTCCTGTACCTCCCTTCCCTCCCTCCCCTCCTCACCATCTCTTTGTCTCTTTCCCATTTGCAAAAGTTCTCTCTCCATTTCCTACATCTATCTTTTATTTTGCTCTTTAATTTATTTATACTTTGGGTTTCTCTTAGCCACAATCATTTTAGATTTTTTTTATTTAAAGAGAAAAAAAAGAAAAAAAAACCAGAAAAAGGGTAGAATACAGTTTCAAAAAAAAAATAAACAGTAAGAAACCACTAGTTGATAAATTACATATTGTCCTCTTAGAAATAGTTGTTCAAGTTACAAAAGTGAAGCATACAAAGTGAACATTCAAACAGCGAGACTACAAACAGTTCTGTTCAACGATCCAACAAAAACTTAGTAATATGGTTATCAATCCTATATACTTAAAACATATATGCAGTTATATCCTTTAGAGCAACTTTCTTTTCCCTCTTTTTTACAATAACAATTACACATTTAGGGCTACATTACTCCTATATTTCTTATTAATTTTTACTAGAGAACTACTAGAGACACAATGTGATATTAATAAATATGATTATTTATTTCACTAATGAGGATGGTCTCAAGTTGTCTCCATTTGCCTACGAGTAATATTCCATTGTATAAAAATACATCTTTTTCATCCACTCTGCAGTTGATAGGCATCTTGCTTGTTTTCAAGATTTAGTTATTACAAATTGTGCTGCTATGAACATGGGTGCACATATATCACTGTGAAATGACCTTTTCAGTTTTTCTGGGAAATACCCAGGAGGGGAATAGCTGGATTGAATAGAACTTTCAATCCTAGTCTTCTGAGAAATCTCCATACTGATTTCCATAGTGGTTGCACTGGTCTACACTCCCACCAACAGTGGAACAGTGTTCCTTTTCTCCCCACATCCTCGCCAACATTTGTAATCAGTTGATTTCTTGATGGCGGCCATTCTTTCCAAAGTAAGATGAAATCTCAATACTGTTTTAACTTGCACTTCTCAAATGACCAGTGATAGTGAGCATTTCTTCATGTATTTATTTGCCATTTGTATATCTTCATCTGAGAGTGTGTTCATCTCAGATGCCCATTTTTGGAGAGAGTCCTTGAATATGGGGGGCTTGATGTTTTTCAATTCTTGATATGTTCTGCATGTAAGTCCTTTGCCTGAGGAGTTGTTGGCTAAAATTCTTTCCCATTCTGTGGGTTTTCTTTCCACTCTGTTGGTGATTTCTTTTGAAGTGCAGTAACTTTTCAATAATAAGAGATTCTTTGAATAATATGTCAATTCTTTGAAGTGTTACTCAGGCAGTTTGTGTTTTGTTCATGAATTCTGTGCCTACCCCTTTGTCTCCAAGACTTCTGCCTACCTTGTCTTCTAGTAGATTTAGTGTTTCTCTTTTAATATTTAGATCTTTGATCCATTTAGACTTTAGTTTTGGTGATAGGCATGGGTCTAGTTTCAGTCTTCGGCATGTGGAGAGCCAATTACTCCTGCACCATTTATTAAAGAGGCTATCTTTCTTCCAGTGAGCATGTTTAGCCCCTTTGTCAAATATCAGGAGCCACGATCATTTTAAAAAGCACTATGCTTTTTATTCCACCTCAGCAATTCAACCAGAAACATCTTCTCTATGACAAGCCTGAAGAGAACCAATGAAACTTCCGATTGTACCTAAAGTAAGTCAAAAAGTTTGAGACCCATCATCATTCCCAATCTTTCTCAGCATTTATTCAACAGGTAGTCTGAAAGGCATAACATGTCACAAAAAAGCACAAATTTGTCTTTACAAACCATTACTAAATACGTGACTTAAATGAAAAGCAAGTTGATAACAAAGGAAAATAAACCAAAGAAATCCTAAAAATACAATCCTGACACAAAGCAACCAGGCCTTTTATTTCTGATGCTATTTTCTTCTGACATCATGGGGCCTCACCCTGAGCCAGCGGCAACTTTGGTCCCATCTCTGTTGAAGACCACGTGGTTGGCGTTGGTTGTGAAGCGTGTGAGGATGCCATCCGGAGCCCCCTCGGGGAACGTGTGCACCTGGACGGTGTTGTTAGAGACAGCAGTGACCAGTCTCCCATTCTGCAAGAGAAATCAAGGGAAGAAATGGTGGCATAGCAAATTCAAAGCAACTGGGGGGATTCCCATAGCTCAGAATCCCATCGAAAACAAAACTCTTCAGAAAGGTAGCTCCCGCCACGAGAAAAAATGTCCCACTCAGCGTCCAGCTTTCCAGAAATGTCCATTAGGAAGAAGAATTGGCTAGCTTTAGAAACCTGGATTCTCTCTTCACCAGCTGATCTTTTAGCCTCTCATTTTTCTCTTTAGTAAGAAAAATATTCAAGTAGTATTTTTATGGAGCCTAAATATAAAAATGAAGGAAACTCAAAAGGGCTTAGCAGAAAAGAACAAGGAGAAACCAGGAAAGCAGAGCTACGGCAGCCACTGTCACGTTCCTGTTTCTAAGATGAAATCGGCACGCCCTTCCGGAGTGAGATAAAGGGGAAATGGCCCACTGGAGGGATAAGCCCGTCAGCCAAGAAACAAAACTGTCACCCCACAAGGACTGAAAGGACAAGCACAGGATGGATTCTGCTCCGGAGCCTTGGAAACAGCTTGGAAACAGCCAAAACTCCCCAGCGGACCCCTTGATGTCAGGCCTTGGGACAGCTGAGCTGAGGGGCACTAATTCTCTAGGGCCTGAAGCCATCAGGGAGGTAGTGATTTACTGCAGCAGCAAGAGCGGAAGAATGTGAGGTTCCCGATCAATCTTTTGCACGAATGAAAGCAATATACTCTCACTGTCGGAGAAAAAAATAATATGAAAGTGTCCTGAGCACAGCGACTTCACCTAATCTTACAAATTGATCTCCACAGCCACTGGGGGACAAGCCTTAACCCTTCTACACCCATGAGTGTGTTTGTGTGTGTGTGTACTTTTAACAAGTATAAACAGCTTTTCAATAAGCATGTTTATCTTTTTCATTTATTTACTTTTTTGTGGCTACACAGTATGGCTTTAGCAGAATATATACAACGCCTTCTTTACCCATGGATGAAGCCTCAACTGTTTCCAGTTTTGCCACCACTGTATTATTACTAACGCACTTGTCCACATAAACTTCAAAGTGTGTATTTTCCTAAAGAAAGTAATCAGAAGTGATTACTGCTGGGTGTGATGGTGCACGCCTGTAATCCCAGAACTTGGGAGGCTGAGGCAGGAGAAACGTTGCTAAGTTCAAGACCAGCCAGGGTTATAAAGTGAGCCTAAGGTCAGTCTGAAATGCACAGGGAGATCCTGTCTCATAAAGAAAAAAAAAAAAAAAAAGTGATTGTTGACATCCTCATCTAGATACAGAGCATCAACTTGCTCTCACAGAGGGAACAGACATCCAACATTAATTTGCACTCCTCTGTTTATTGAGGAGAATCAGCTTATATTTAATACATGTTGGTCATTAATATTTTTTCTTCTGGGAATGTATATTTCATTATTTATAACTGTTTAGAAAAGACTATCTAAAGTATTAAAGACCATTTCATTTTCCTTAATGAGCCTGAGTTTAGAAAAAATATTAATCCTGTGGGAAGCCTCTTTACGTCTAAACAAAGTACACTCGATTTTAATTCATCACAAATAAAAACCTTAGCAGTTTTTAGATATTCAATTTCCAAAATCTCTCTGAGAGCTGGGTGTGGTGGCACATGTCCGCAATCCCAGCACTACGGAAGGCTGAGGCAGGATCGTCACAAGTGCAAAACCAGCCTGGGCTTCAAAGTGAGCTCAGAGCTAGCCTGAACTGGATAGTAAAAGTCTGTCTCAAAACGACTCCCCACAAAAAACTCTCTGAAAACATCTTCATTCTGGAGCTGGGGATTTAGCTCAGTGACCTAAGCACCTGCCTTGCAAGGGTGTAGTCTTGAGTTCAATCCCAGATACCAAAACAAAACAAAACAAAACAAAAAAATCTTCATTCTGTAAATGTCTATATCTCATTCCCAGATGTATCTAACACAAAACAGTCCTATTTTCTTGAATAATGCCATCAGCAATCTGAGTTAGTGTCTGAATCTGTTCTTTGCGGCCACAACATTAACAGAGGGGGTAATTTACAATGAGCAGAAATCTACTGGTTCACGATTTTGGAGCCGGGATGTCCAAGAGAAAGGGACTGGACCCGGTGAGGGTCACCTTGCTGTGTCATGCCAGAGAGGGAGATCAAAGAGAAAGAGGACCCTGCCTGACCTTTTATAATGACCTTGGACGGGCGGTGACAAACCCACTTCCACAGTACTGCACAAACCCTTTCCCAGAGCAGAGCCCCCTGGCCTAATCATCTCCCGTCTGGGGAGTTCAGTCACCAAACAGTCTTCTGGGGGGACACACTGGCATCACAGCAATGAGCTAGAAATGAGGTGCCCAAGGATTTAGCTCAGCGACATTCTGGAATACCATAAGAGAAAGGACAACGGGACACATCTATATTCAAGGGCTTGCCTGGTAAGCACAAGGTCCTAAGTTCAATCCCCAGTACCAAAAAAAAAAAAAAAAAAAAAAAAAACGAAAAGAAAAGAAAAAGAACTACCACTGAGGTTTCCCTCAAAGGCAAAAGGACCCCACTTTAACCTTTCTTAAAAGCATAATCTTCTACTTTTACTGTTCTGTTTTCATTGGCTTTACTGTTTTATTTTGTTTGGTTTCATTCTCTTTAAAATTTTTTAACAAGTGTAATTCACTGATCATCTTCAACAAACCATTCACATTTTACTTTTAAAATTCTGGGGCAAGTCATGGCATTTTTAGACATTCTGGAATACCGTAAGAGAAAGGACAACGGGACACATCTATATTCAAACTTCTATTAAAAGCATCTTCACTGCCCATGAAAACGGCACCCTGCACATTTCACAATTACCCTCAGAGCGCATGAGTACGCCTTCTCGCCAACGTTGATGGACTTGGGGTCATCGTCGTCCAAGTCTTTCCAAATCCGCACATCACCGTCACGTCCACAAGTCACGATGCAGCTGCAAAGGACACACATGCACGAGAAGTCACCCAGGTCTCCACGAACTGTTTCTGGGGCCCTTGACAGGTACTTTTAAATCAAACTGAAGTATTAGCCTATATTTTTTTTCTCAAGCAACCCTCAATACAGTAAGTGGTAACTCCATGTTTTATGAAATGGAGATGAGCTTAAAGTTCTATACAATTCTCTGACAGAAAATCCATTTGTTTTTGTTTTTCCCGTCATTTTTGAGGCTTCATTACACGATTCACATTGCCCTTGAACTCACTTTGTAGCTCAGGCTGGCCTCAATCTTGTGGCAGTTCTCCTGCCTCAGCCTTCTGAGTGCTGGGATTTCAGGTGTGCACCACCACACCCAGCTAGAAAATTCATTTGTAATAATAAAGTGAATTTTCAATCTCCGTGACAACAGGGGCTAGGTTTACCTTGCTCATAAATCCACACCGCCAATCTGACACATAAACTTTGAATTTTGTGATTTTTATTTTTTTAGTGAGGTTTTGCATTTATTAAAGGCAGGAAAATGCGTCCTGCAGACTGAGTGTGGGTCAACAAGTAGGCCAGATCTCCAGATCAAATGCCTGCTTGAGTAAGAGCCCAAATAAAAGCACAAGAATCGGTGAAGACCATGGAGAAAGATGGTGAGGTTTAGTAAAGGCAGGGAAAGCAGCTCACTCTGTAGATGAATGTGGGCCAGTTATAAGGAGAAAGGAAAGTCTGCTTTACACAGAAAGAGGACACAGTGGAAACAAAGCAACTTCCATCAGTGTTTGTTGAATGAATAAAAAACTGGGCCCCTGAGCTCGATTGTCCAGAGGTGATTATTCTATTAGCTGACTGCATCTGTCACAGTGGGTTTTTGGTTTGTGGTCACAGGGCTTTATACATGCTACAGATCAGTGCTTTGCTGCTGAACTACACGCAGACCACCACTGGTTTCAAAGCTCCACTCTTCCCCAGGCTGTTATTCATTCGGCGTATGCCACATTTGGACACATGTAAAAAAAAAGCAAAAACAATAAAATGAACGTGAGTTGTCCTCATTAAAAAAAGCACTGCTCTGATTGGTCAAGTGATATCAAGTTCCCCATCAGTGTCATCAGAGGTTCTCAATGAGAAATCACTGGGGGGACAGGGTGCAGCTCAGCAGCAGAGCACTTGCCTAGCCTGTGTAAGGCCCAGGGTTCCTCCCCAGCTCACATGCAAACACACATATGCAAAGCAATGGATGCCCACTGGCTACCTCTGTCCCCCAAAATGCTGGGCTTACAAGCATGTGCCACCACGTCTGGTTTTGAGATCTTTTTTACTACCTGTCTCCCGAGATTCATTGTCCATAAAATCTCCACATCCTTTTTTTAAAAAAACATCATTCCTGGGCTGGGTGTGGTGGTACAGGCCTACAACTCCAGCACTCTGGAGGCTGAGGCAGGAGGACCATTGTAAATTTGAGACTAGTTTGGGCTACAAAGTGAGTTCAAGGCCAGCCTGAACTGCATAACGAAATCTTGTCTCAAAGATCCCTGGGCTGGGGATATGCCTGGCAAGCTCGAGGCCATGAGTTTGATTCCTGGTACCAAAAAAAAGTCATTCTCTGAAGTCAACAGTGTTCTTTTAGGGTGCAGCTGATTTTCTTCCACACCTCTCTCGAAGTCCTTATCACTTTCATGCTATTGCCATGTTGCCCTCTCTTAAAAACGTTAAAAACAATGCAAAACAAAACAAAGCAAAAAAAAAAAAAAAGCATTTGAATTTCTGTTACCTTTGGATTCCTAAAGAAAAATTCCTCAAATCCTAAGGAGTTTAGCTTTTGGCTCATTGGTGTTTCTCTCTAACACCACTCCCAGCATAATTCTTGGTGTTATCTATGTAGCTGGAAACCTGGTACAGCTCTCCTCTAACAATTGTCCTTTATTTTGGACTCCCATGGTGCCCATGTATAATCCCATTACTGGGGAAGCTGAGGCAGAAGAATGACTGTGAATTCGAGGCCAGCCTGAACTGCACAGCCAGACCCTGTCTCAAAAGCAAAAACAAGATCGCATCTTGTTTGCACTATTGAACCTATAGACCCCAGCACACTAGACTCACACATTTTCCAAGAAATCAGTCAACACAGGAATGGCAGTGGAAACCATGCATCTGGACAGTATTGCATAGCAATGAGATTTACAAAAGAGATATCATTTAGGAATTAAGCAAAGAAAAATTTAAAAGTCAGAAAGTTAGGACAACTACTGAATCTCACAAGCAGGCAGAATCTAATGACCTGACAAAATTAATAAGAAAGACAGAGAAAACAAAAATTTAAGAAAATGGAGAGGGGTAGCTTGCATCTCTTTTCTCCACTTTTTATCTTTTCATTAGCCCATATTTGCAGTACATAATGATTACATTCCTCAAGACAAATTGGTATACATAACACATCTTAATTCTTTTTACTTCTCCTTCCATTTCTCCATCTCCCTATTTCCTAATATCTTTTATTTTGCTCTTTGTTTTTGTTTTTCTTTCTGTTTTGTTTGTTTTTTTGCTTTGTTTGGTTTGGTTTTTTGGGGACAGGTTCTCACTCTGTAATTCAAGTTGGACTTGAACTCACTATACAGAGTATGCTGGCCTCAAACCTGCGGCAATCCCCCTGCCTCAGCCTCCCAAGTGCTAGGATTACAGGCATGCACCATCATGCTCAGCTTGCTCTTTATGTTTTTGGTTTCTCACATAAAACACGTGGTATTTAAGCTTGTGTGTCTGATTTATTTCACTTATCACTATCATCTCAAGGTGCCTCCACTTTCCTGCAAGTAACTTAGATTTATTATTTATGGTGGGCAGAGTAACTCTCAATTGTGTATAAATCCCACATTTATTCACTCATTCATCTGTTGATGGGCGTACACTGCTTCCAAGATTAGCTGTTAAGAATGGTGGTAGCTTGCATCTTCCCAGTCCGTCTAGACATAAGATCTTTAACCTTTCTGATATGCAAAAACTACCATGACAGTCTGAAAGAAACAAACCGGAGGAAATTGCAGGTGTCCCTTTAGATTTCGACGTTGTTCCTGTCTGTGCGAGTCGTTCTTAGTGGCCTGCACATTTGCTGTGTAAGAAACTTTCCAGCACTCATACTTGGGACAGAAACAAAGCACCTCACCTCCCAGAGTCATCAAAACAGACGTCCGTGTGTCCTTCTGTGTGTCCGTATCTCATGGGCTTCTGGGTGGCCGGCATCTTTCCTCCTCAACCTGAAAGCCAGGGTCAGCGGGGAGGTGAGCGTCCCCCGGGGCTCCATCTCCCCAGTCCCGCTCCCCCCAACCCGAGTGGCACCAGCAGGTCACAGCGGACGGCCTGCCATGCTTCTAGGCGAGCGCGGGGAGCAGGAGCCAGGACTCACCCAGGTATACACGAAGCAACCTCACAAGAACCAACACCACTACAGCGCTTCCCGCGCTCTGGCGCGCTCCACACGCTGCGCCTGCGCGGACCGCCTACTCCCCGCCCCCAGCCCCGCCCCGCCCCTCCCCGCCCAGGTATCCACGGGGGTCGCAGGATGGTGACGTAAGCGTCGCGCAGGCAGCTGGTGGGGGGGGCGACGGACGGGAGGGGAAGAGCTGGTTGCTGGGGTGATGAGAGAGGAAAGGAAGGAGCCGAACGCGGAAGTGGTGGCGGCGCCTGGGGAGCAGGCGGAGGCGGTGACTGCCAAGTCTGAGACAGGAACCTTGCGTTGAGGGGAGGGGAAGGCGGGGGTTGGCAGAAGGGCATCCGCCTTCTAGGACCGACACGCGGTGCGGGAGCAGCCGGGCCTCCTTGTCTCCGCTTCCACGAGCGCCCCGAGTGATGGCGACGGTGATGGCGGCAGTTTCTCCGACAGCCTGGATGAAGCTGCGCTCCGGGAGGTGAGTGGGGGAAGGGTGGCCGCTGCCTAGCCTTAAAGGCCGGGGTCTTGCTCTAACCCTCCAGATTTCCCTCCCGGGCGACCCTATCCGAGGGCTTGGACGGATCCAGCCCCTTCTTGGAGCAGTTAGACAGATCTTTGGTCATGTAGAGAAAAAGAAAGGGAGTGCTAATCGCAGCTTTCATCTTGGCCTCCCTGATGCCCTCACCCTGTCATCTTTGTAGAGATAAAGAATTAATTAACGCTTACATCTTGCGACTGTGTCCACACAGTTCTTTTAAAAAGTAGCTTGTGTTTTCCCTATTCAGTTCTCATCTAAAGTGCACCAAAGTAGATCTTTGAATCTAAAAGGAGAACTAGAACTAAAGTGTATACTGAGAGTGCTTCATATGATCCTTACAATCTTTCTAAGGTTTTGGGCTTCAAGTTTGTGCTGTGTCTTGACATTCTCCATGTTGGTAGCCCGGTCTCTCATTGTGAAAATGATGATACTGTTTCATGAGTATGTTTCTTTGAGAAATTTACTAGATTTTTGTAGTATTCACCTTTCAGTTTCAATCAGACTTCATTTATGCTCTAAGAGACCTTTTTACGTTGATTTCCCTTTCAGTCTAGTTCCATTGCGAAAAGTTGCAAGCACAATTAGACGATGTTTTTGGCTTAGTGGCACTGTTTGAGGAGTTGCTTTTAGTATTAGAACTCCACATAGGCTTGCTTGAAACTGACGTTTATGCATGAATAAAAAGGAAGGGTGATTGGTTTAAAAAGAAATTTGGGATTGTGAGAGAAGAACGTGCTGCTCATTTTCAGCAAGAGGAAAAGGATTTGAGATGATGTCTGAGTAACTTAATTTTACCTAGAGCTCATTCTTTTTGAGGCAGATTGATTTATAATTTTTTTATCTGAGTAACAATGTCGCTGGAGAAAGTATGAGCTCTGGTAATTTTCGTTTCTATTTTAAATAGATCATGATGAGATTTTAAGAGTAATACCACTCAGCACTCAGCATAAGAAATATCTACAAGTTGAAAGAGTTACAGCTATAAAATATTTTAAATGCATCCATAATACCAGGTGACTTTAAAACTGTGAGTGATGTCCACGCATCTGCCCTTTCTGACTTAGCAATCAAACTATTTGATTCCCGGGTTAAAGAAAAACTTCCTTTGCAGATTTCACATGTATGAATTATCCTAAGCAATAGGATTGAATAATTCTGGGCTTTAATTTTAACTCTGATACACTGTGTGACCTTGAATATACTTTACTTTGCTAAGTGTCAGATCCCTCATCTCTGAGTTGGAGCTCTTACCAAATTGTTAAGAGTCCTAGGAAATAGTTATGGAAGTATAAAACTAACTGTTGTTCATGTCTTACACTACTAATGGAATACTTTGGGCAGGTTCTTAAGTGGGATTTAAATGATTATCCAGTAAAATTTGTCAAATATTAAAAGATGTATCTTTGCTTTTGCTAATGTAATATGTTTCACAGTTATGTTTGTTTCAGTCACATGCCCACAAATTTTAATGCCTTCTGTGAGTCCCGGTCCTGTTAAAAGAGAGAGATGTTCAAATCATACATACAAAAAACTGTCTAGTAAGACAGTCTAGGCTTTTTGAAATGAAATCAGTGCCACTGATGGGCGTCAGAGTTTTTCAAATGAACATAGCCATCATTAACAGTGTATGTCTCACCAGAGTGGGAAGCTGAGCAGACTGTGGATGATAACAAGGTTGAGGGAAGACTGAACGCAGTGGAGGTTAGTTAGCACTGTTATGATCACTTTAACACTCGTAGGCTTACACTGATTGTTGGTCTCCAGGGCAGTAGGTGAGAAAACCTGCACAGGTTATCATTCTACCAGCAGTGGTGTCCTCTGTATAAATACTGTGCCACAATCCTATAGAGTTTATCCAAGAGACTGTGTCAGTATTGCCTTAAGGAAGTTTTGTCTTTGTTTTGTGGCACGGGAGATTGAACCCAGGACTTTTGCGCAGAGTTACAACCCTTTTATCTTCAGATTTCTAAACTGTGTCTCTGTGCAGGCTGTCTAGCATTTTTTGTGGCCCTTTTTCACCCTCTCCTTTTCCTTAATTTTGCTGCTTGCCTGCTTCTCATATCTAAGAAAATGTTTTTTTTAAAAGTAATACTGTATTGATTTTCATTAATCTCCAGGTATGTTGTTTTCAGACATTTTAATCTTAATAGTAAGAACGTGTCCCAATTTTTACCAAGAACACAAAAGCTAAGTGAGTTAGGTTGTTTTGCGGCACTCAAGGTAAACCCAGGGCCTTGTGCTGCTAAGCCGTTGGCTGCACCACTGAGCCACATTCCCCACTCGCACCCCCACCTCTACACCTTTTAAAGGAGATTTCAAGACAGTGTGCACCTGGAAGTGGCAGGGTCAGACCTTTAGCTCCCAGTGGCAATTTTTACAATGCTTACCTTTAAATGTGGGATAGTGAAAAAGTGTTGGTTTTTAATTTTTAAATACTTTCTCTTTAGATTGAATTGGTCTCAGAATAAAAGAAGTGGCAAAAATGTGAAAATGCACTTGTTCTAGGTAATGGAAGTATATCTTTTCCCTCTCATTGTTCTGAACATCTCATGTATTATTTAATAAGCAAATATTGAGCGGTGTTGTTGTTATTGTTGGAGTTGTTGTTTTTGAGACAGAGTCTCACTACATATCCAAGCTGGTCTGAAACTCACCGCCAGGCAGGCAGTCCTGCCTCAGCCTTCCAAGTACTAGGATTACAAGTGTGCACCACCGTGCCTGGCACATACTGTTTTTAATAATTAGAAATTACAAATTGGAAGGGAAAATACATCTACTCAGTTTATTTCTTAAAATGTTTTGAGAATGTGTCTTCAGTACTCTGGTTCCTAAGATTCTGTTAAAATTGTTTCCTCTTTTGATGAATGCAAACAGAGCGATTCAGTCATGCTAATTAACATACTCATTGCGTTAAGTTTTTGTGGTAAGAACATTAAAATCTGTTTTAGCAATTTTAGAATGTGTGTTATTTTTAGCTGTGGTCACATGAAATGTGTTAATGCAGTAAAACTTAGTCCTCCACAGAATGCATTAATCTTTCAGTAGTGACCACTAGAATGCACATTGGGGAACACTGGATAGTCAAGCTAATCGGGCAAAAAAGTAGAGAAAGTGGGGAAACAGGGAAAGGAGAGGGAAAATCCCACAAGACAGGGATTTTCTTCTTTATTTTTAATTGCCATTACTGTAGTTATGTCTCATAAGATTTAGCTATTTTTTAAAGGACATATCTAAAACATTTATTGAACTTAATCTGTATTGTTTTTATGAGAAATACATGTATTTTAATTTTAAGCATTTTTCTGGATATGAACAAAGCCATTTTCTTTCTTTTTTTTTCTTCTGCCACACTCCAAGGAATTCATCTGTTGTTTGCTAACAAACAGATTCTTTATGTAGAACCTCAATGTTTCTGTAGACTCTAAATCCAGTATCATAGAATGTGATCAGAATGCTTTCAGGGATTTTGGGGGGCACACAATAGCAGGTAAACATGAAATCGTGAATTTGGTAGGGCTGAATTACTACCAGAATAATAGTTCATTTGTGATTTTTTTATGTAGCATACTAAATTTTTGTAAACTAAATTTACTTCAAGTTAGTATTTATGTGAATTCTGGTCTTAAAAATGCATCCACGTTTATGGACATAAATTCAATAAATACATAAAAATCTGTAATACTGTGTTATCTGACATCTTAGAGAATAAAAATAATTTTCCAGATAAAGCTTAACCTTTTATTAAGTTTTAATTGTTTTCCCAGCCTTATTCAGTAGAACTAAATATCATTTAAATCTTTTGTCTGTGATGGGTCACATGAGACAGTGATTTTGTTAGTCTAGTCATTGCAATTGGTAGTGAAACCAGGGAAAAATGGCTTCTGAATTTGGAAATTTGCTTTCTTTTTGAGATAGGCTCTTTCTGTGCAGTTCAGACGGGTCTTGAACTTGCAAGGATCCTCCTGCCTCAGCCTCCCAATTGCTGGGCTTACAGGAGTGAGTCACCATACCTGGCTTGAAATGGCTTTTGTATAAACAGTGTTTCAGCCATTTGTATCTCACTCATTAAAAAGTGATTTTTTAAAATGTCACTGTTTACTCCCCAGAGCATTGTAACATAGTTCCCTTTCATAAAAAATTAAATTGAATCAGGAACCAAAGCAATGATTCTCAGGCTGGGGATTTAGCTCAGCGGCATATGCACCTGCCTTGCAAGTGTGTGGTTGTGAGTTCGATCCCTGGTACCGATTAAAAAAAAAAAAAGAAAGAAAAACACACACACAAAAAAACCAAAGCAATGATTCTTTCAATCTCTTTTAAAAGGAAAAAAAAAGTGAGTTTGATCCCCAACACCAAAAAACAATTTTTTTAAATACATAAATAAAAAGAGGAGGGAAAAAAAGCTTCTTTGCAACTACTGTCAAAGATCTTCAACTTGGTACTCGTAATCCCGCTTACTGAGGAGGCTGAGCCAGGAGGATTGCGCTGTTCAAGACTAGTCTGGGAAATTTAACAAGACAATGTCTCAAAACAATGAAAATGAAGGGCTAGGAGTGTACGCAGCTCAGTGATAAGAGTACTTTCCTAACACGAACAAGAGTCCAGGATCAATCCTCAGCACTACAGAAAAAGACAAAAAAACAACCAGATAAAACTGCCGGAATTAATAATAGGCTGTTTGGAATGAGTCATTCTGATTCAGAGCCCTGCACAGCTTTGACATTCAGGTTTCACATGTGTAGGCAAGACACCAAAGGACCTTTTGTAAAAACCCTTTGGTCTTTATAACACTAAAGACGGTTTTGCTCCCACCAAAACTTAGTGATGTTGTTTCTGTTGAAAGTGGTGTGATTGAATTTTTATGTTCTAAGAATCTTGGTTTAATGAAGCTCAAGAAAGAAATTAGAAAACCTTTTCTGTTTTAAGTGCAGAGAAGTAAC